AGAAAGAAGGAAGGTGCTGAGTGAGAACTGTGGGTGCATTAAGCAGCTGACATATACTTCTGTATTAGTGTAACGTGAATCTGTTACAGTTGTTTTTTAGAGCAAAGCAGAACTGTGTTTTAGTTGGTCTGATACAGCTGCTTGAAGAAGGCTAGTGCTGTGCTGCTAGCGTTTGTCCTTAATGGTGATTGCTGATTGAAGGCTAGTGCTGTGCTGCTGGCAAGTGTTTGTCCTTAATGGTGATTGCTGATCTACGTCAGTTTGGTGGTCACAGGGCTGATCTCCAGATCCTCATTTCCTCCATGCCCAGTGCTTAAAGCAGAGCGTGGGAGACCCTGTGCTAAGTAGTGCCAGGGTTTGCCCTTTGGGAATGCTTCCCCCTGTGCACCTGGAAGAAAACAGGGTAAACTGCAGCCAGATGAGATCCTTCCTTTTGAGTCCTACAAAACAGCTGTGTTTAGGTAATGCTCAGTCATCCTTGGAATCTTTCAGTTTTGCTTTTGAGAAAAACCTGCATCTCAGATTTCCCTAAGCAAACTTTCCATTTTGCGGAAGAGTTGCTGTTTTTGAAGGCTGCTTCATGCCTTTGCTTCTCTGACCATTGCTAGCAGAATGCCAGATTCAGAGGATTTCCAGATTTCTCTGTCACTTCTTCTGTGTTATCTCGTTTCTCAAAGTATATCAATTCAGAGCTTCCTGCAGATAGTTCTGTCTGCAGCAGCAGATTACCAATACATCCGTGATGAGAGATGAATGTGATCATTTATTTACTTTTTAATAGCATCTTGCCTTCTAGGATCTTAAAGTGCTTTTAAAACTTCAGTCCAACTCTGAATCTCCTTGTTCCTTTAATTCAAAGGTGGGGACAGCTGACGCTGCATGGGTGGAATTTGGCTCTGTTTGGAGATGCTGCAGTAGTTGGTCAGGTGCCTGTGGTCCTAGCTTTTATGAGAAACACAGGGCACCTGCAGATCTGGCTAACTGTTGGAAAAGCCCTGGTTTCTGAACGCTGGAAAATGGTGTGTAAGTGTCCAAATATGTCCGGTGCCTGGGGCCAAAAATGTTAGCTGGGATGATGCCCCCAGTCCTGTCAGTAAGCCAAGGGTGGAACCCACAGCAATACTGGAGTCCCCAGTATTGAAATCCAGGCCACAAGGAAATGGAAGCCAGCCCACAAGGTGTTTTGTGGGATTCATACGAAGTGTTCCCTCCTTCACCCTAGCTTGCACTCTGTGAAGTGGTCCCTATTCTTATGCAGAGCCAGGACTTCTCAGGTCAAGGGCAGACCAAGGAGCCTAGCCATGGTTGCTTCTTAATCTTTTAAATGCCAGATCCATGCCCGCTGCCTGGTGTGGTTTGCCTCCAGACAGCAGCTGACAGATCACACCATCTCTGATCCACCCTCAGATTTGGGAGCCGAGTGGGGTCCTGACTCTTACCCTGGTAAATCTGCTCCATTAATAGCTATGAAAGAGCCTGAAGTTTCCATCCGAACTTTATCTGGCTTTGCAGCAAGCTGGAGGATTAAAAACCGTCGCAGGGGAAGGGAGGGAGCAGCCGTGGCTCACCCGGAATAGCCTGACCTATGACGGCACATACTGGCCTGGGGTGGGGAGTTGACTCCTGAGCTCACCAGTTATTAGCAGTGAGCACAGACATGCCTGCAGTCAGCAGCACACCCAGGGCCGTCTGCTCCATCCCAGGATGGTTTAGGGGGTCCAGAGGGATTTGTTAGTGCAGCTTGACTGTATGGCTCTTTGATGGGAGAGCTGGGAGCAGGCCTGAGGGCCAGCCTTGTGGAGACATCATTTGATGCTGCTCAAGTAACCTTAAGGTTTGACCTTCGGGCTGTTTGTATGGGGCAGATCTGTTTTTGAGGTGGAGTGGTATGAGAAGATAACCTTGGCCCTGCTGCGGCCCAGGGCTGTTGTCTCCTTGTTGTGTCATAGCAAGTAATAGAGGGATCCAAGTGGGCTGTATGGCTGCGACCCTCCCATAGGGCCAGCAGGCATGGGGCACAAACCTTCATCTACCAGGTGGGGGAAGAGTGTAGGAAGCAAGAGCAGGTTTTTTTAGCATAGTCAGGGATTCACTTCTTGTAGCCCCTCTCTTGTAACTGGTTTTGTTTTCCTTGCTTTGTTGCTCTGCTGGTGTCTCCAAGCCCTGTTTCACCTGCCCCATGTCGCTGCTGTGGGAAAATGCAGGGTTTCTTATTACTTCCTCACCCTCATTCAGAGCTGCTCCTCAGCTGAGCATTGCTGTTTTTTTCTTGGAGACAGGCTGTGAGTTAGAGCCCTTTCCAGTGCCCAGCGTTTTGCAGGACTTGTGCAGAGCACCTCAGCATAGCGGAAGGAGATCTTCCCAGCTGGCTGGATGACCCCAGGCTCGGTGTGCTTGTCCCCAGAGGAGCAGTGGAACGGCAGATTAACTGCATGTGGGAAGCAGGCGTGCGGCCATCGCAGTGAATAGACTGTGGGTGCTGCTCAGTGTTTTACAGCAGGAAGCACTGAGGCTGTTCTAAACCTTTGACCCCAGCGACATACTCCAGATTCCTCCCAGTTAAACAGTCTCCTTCCCTCCCCTCCAGGCCTGAAAGCATTCCCCCTCCTGACTAGCCAGACAGATGCATTCCCCCATAAAAAGATCCTTTGTGTCCCCAACAATTCTATTGATCTGCACACTGGGAACATCATTCTGCTTTGAAATTTGCAGCCTGCATACTTTATCGGTGATAGGTGCTACTGGCATTTTGGCTCTTTGAACATCTAGGAAGTCACCCAGCAGGTGGGAAATCCACATGCGGTAGATGTAGTAGGCTAGGGGAGTACAGCTGAACACAGGGCTTTGGAGCAGCATCCTTTCAGGAAGAGGTCCCCCATGCCGCCTGATGAGGAAGATGAGGCCATACTGAACCCTCTCCTGCTGGCATGGCAGTGTTGTGCAGCGCTGGCGTGCACGCCCTGTCACTGGAGCAGATGAGCAAGGGAGGCATCAGTGGCTGGTGTACAGGACTCTGCCTGTCCAATCAGTGTTGATGCATCTGCTCTCCAACAAGCTCTTCCGTGCCAAGGGTTTGCGAGGAAGAAGGGAATGTTGGTGCTCTCTATGTCCTGCCCTGTAGACAGGTTTACCAAGCGCGTTAGGCACTTGAGCTGTACAAAGTTGTGCTTCTAACTGTGGAGGTTTTTTGGTTCAGCTTTTGCAGTCTTCATCAGTATGTATACTTCCCTGATGCTGCCACCCCCCCCTCCCCCTTTTACTGACACTTGAATAGCTCAGCAGTTCCTGTGGGGGAGAATGAAAAACAGTGATTCCCTACTAGACATTCAATCCCAGCCTCAATAAGGGGATTTATGAGTAGGGTGCTGAATGGCTGCAATGACTTACTGTGTCTAGTGCTAGAGTCAGTTATTGTGGTCAGGGGTGAGCTGGGAATATGCGTGTGTATGTGGGGAAGAGGGGAACTGAGATTAGCCAAATAGACATAACACAAATGTCCTCTACCTTGGCTGTGTAAAAACATGAGAGTGGGCATGTAGGTGCTTTGGCAGTTGGATTAGATGATCATTCTAGGACCCTTCCAACTGGACTCTATTCTACATCTAGTCGCATGGACCTTCTTACTGCCATTTTGGGGACCAAGCATGAAAGCCTGATCCCTGCCCTGCCGGGAAAATGTCCTCCATACATTCTCTGAGAAGATCCATGTGTAGCAAAGGGAGCTGAGGGAAGCGGGTTTGCATGGCTGTCATGGCTACCTGGCAGTCCCTCAGACACTTCCTAGTGGCCTTCCTGTAGAGTTGGTGGCAGTAACATGCACCTGCTTTTCCATCTTGTCCCTCTTTACCCCAAGAGGGGCTGAACATGATGGCTGAGACCTGAGGTTAAAGAACCGCTGTGCTCAGCAGAGCAAGAAGACTTTAGTTTTACACTGCTTTCTGCCTCTTGGGCAGTCATGCTCTTCCCACTTAGGGCTCCCTTGCTTTTCAGGGTGTTCCTTTCTAGCCCAGAACCTACTGTGACCATGGCTGGGTGGGCCTTTCTCTGTTAGACAAGACTTTTTTTTGACACTTTCAGGCTTTGTTTTCAATTAACAAAGATGATGTAATCGAGTGTAGCCTATGGGTTGCATCCCTGTCTCCCTGCTGCTGGAGTTGCCTGGGGCATGACAAATACATGCTGCCCCCCTCCACAGCTGCAGTTTGCCTGGCCCTCTTGTGATGGCCCTACCTTCCAGCCCAGTAAATGAACTGCTTTGTTCAAAGCTTTGGGAACAATCCACTTAGCTGCATGGAGAGATCGTTGAGAGAAGTGTGATAAGGGAAGTAGTCTGATAAGGACTTTTCTGCAGGCCTGTGGGGAGCTGTGCCGTGCAGGGAGGCAGTGAGAGGAACAGGGCTGGCTGCTGACACTGTCATTGTCACTGTAGATTCATGTTGTAAGGTCCCCAGTTGCTTTCAACAGCCAGCTCCTGCCAAGCATGTGCATAGTGAGAGAAGGTGGAAAGAAGCTGCTCAGCCACCTTCTCTCTCTAAGCAGTTCGCTGCATGGCTTTCCGTGTTCGAGAACAGACCAGCTGTTGTGGGAGCAAAAACTCCACCCTGTCTGGGTCAGAGACAAGTATTAAATCAGGTTAAGTGTAACCACACAACATAAGGCATGTTAGGATGTGGTTTGCTTCTTGCTGGTCCAGGAGATGAAAGAACTGTGTTGCTATTGCCTGGTCTGCAAAAAGTGTTAGACCAGAGAAGGACAAATCTCACTCATGGTTTTTGGTATAGCAAAGTATAAGAGGTCTAAGTTCATCCTGATTGTCTGTAAGTCCTTTTTCAAACTATGACTATGTGGAGAAGTATTTCAGAAATTCTGAGTGCAAGAATAAGGGAGACTTTTAAGCTTTCCTTCTTTCTCATGAGCAAAAACTCGCAACTATTTCTTTGTCTCTGCTTTGCTGTGTCTGTGTTTGAAGTCTCCTGACTTTCTCCTCTCTCTCTCTGCAGGTCCTTCAGAAGCTTGGGAAAGCTGATGAGACAAAAGATGAGCAGTTCGAACAGTGTGTGCAGAACTTCAACAAACAGCTGGTAAGATAATTGGTGATATGTAATTACACCCTGGGTTTCGGTATTAGCTTCCAGTCATCTCCTGCAATATGCAATTAAAGCCCATTAAATTAAAGGATGCCATAGGCCTATTGAAATGACCCACAACTTGTAGCTGTTCACTTATGAGAAATGACACTGTCTTCCAGTGTCCCAGTCACGGAGTCAGGGGGAGTGCATGGTGAAAAATGGTACTTGTTCGAGACCCAAGTTTAGGAAAATAAGTAACTCAACCAGGACACTTCCTTCAGATAGCAGCTGCTTTGTAATGTAATTTTTCGGGCTGAGCTGGAAGCAGAGACATGAGAGCAACATTGTGTCTCTGAAAGATGGATAGCAAACAGATTAGAAATCAAAAATAACGTGGAGCAAGGCAGATTCCGTTTCCTAAGTGCAACGGGAGGCAAAAGAGACAAAAAAGCTCAAATGGTGAAAAGGGAACCTCCTTCCATGGCTAAGATCTAAGTCTGGCTTCTCCTCATCCTTGCACAATCACTGTGTCAGGCCTGAGTCATTGTTCTTTCGTGTGCCTGCTTCATCCCTATATTTTAGCGCACAAAAATATTTTAGCAGTGTAGCAATTTCCCCCACCCTCCGACTGAAACAGCACTCGGTTTACATCTTGAACTGGGTGTGTGTGTGGTTTTTTTTTTTTTATCTGGAGCTTTCAGCCACCCATAGGAGGGGAAAAACATCACTTGCCCCAGGGATTGTGTTTGGTGTTAAGGAAAGTGTTTCGCGGCAGGAAAAGCATGCCACACCAATGCTCAGGTGGTGCTGAAGACATCTTTCAGCCACTTTGTGCCCTCCTATATTTGGAAACTTTTTCTGGAGCTGTTTGTGACAGCTGCACCGTATCTGTTAAGACTCAGCAGATGTGGTTATGTGTCACAAAACCAGCTGAGAAGGGATTTGCCTCAGCTGAATATAATGAAAATCTTTCAGTCTGACTTCAACTCGTGTCTAACTGGAGCTGACTGCAGATTCCTGGAGACTCATGCACGTTCTCTTGGCAGTGATAGTCACTGTTGCTCCAGAAGTTCATGCAACATTTCTATAGCACGTCCACTGATGATATTCTCTTGTACACAGAGGAATACAGTTTGGCTTCCTTCTGACAACATGACATTATCAGGTGTGATTTCCTCATACAATTTTTAAGTATTGGCAGGCAGAAAATAGCCTTTTAAAAGGAGGAATACTGAAAAACTTAGCCAGATCAAGAAGTTTGGATTTGTCTGGAATAGCTTTTCAATTTCCAAAGCCACGAGTTCCAGTGGTGGACTGAGAAGCCTGTTATAGAAGCACTGCCGCTGTACCCCTTAGAGCTGAATTTGTTTGCCCATCTTGCAGGGGCAGGCCATGAACTAAATTCTCCAGTTTATCTAAGGAGCTGGAGACTGCTCTGCATTTGCTGCATGGGGTCTGTTGGTTTTGCTTGGGCCCTCAGTGTCCCTAGTACTAAAATGAATACAAACTATGCCTGTTTTACAGGACAAACCATAAATATGAGTTAACTGGATTGTTAGAATATCCAGGGCTGAGGAGTTGTTACGATGCCAGCCAGACTGGAAAAAAACACCTTCAACTCTATATGCATATGTACACACTTGTTTTTATTTTTATATGTATGATAAGCGTGAGTAGTACAGCTATGTGTAAGATTTCTGTGGCTCTTTCCTTACAAAGTCTGCTCCAGTGGGAAAGTCTGGAGGAAAGCTGATCTTTTGCTGCAGGCTTGTGAGAGAACAGCTTCCCTGTGGGACTGACTGGGGTGTGACCAGGCAGTGGCCCTGTTTGTTGCTTGATTTAGAGGCTCCTCTGATGGCAGTGACTGTGTTGGGCCACTTAGACACATGTTCCCATGCGAGGGCTGTCGATGAATGTAGAGCAGGTCTAAAAATCACTTACTCGTTTTCAACTAAGGTGTCTTGTGGTTCTCTCAAATGGTGGTTGAGTGGAAATAAGGGGAAGCATTGCACTTCCCAGCTCTCTGTCCATTCAGGCTCGTATAAGAGCACCACTCTGAGGTCTCTGAATGGTGGGAGCTTTTTAGCTCAGATGGATTTGCTGCGTGACAAATGACCTGGACATAACCATGCTTCTGCAGGGCTCCAAGGTTCGCTTGTGTCTCTTGAAGGCTTGACAAGCAGCACGACTGGCTCCCATGTTATTCCCTCATGACAGATTATCTTTGGCAATTAACCTCCCAAAAAGTTCATTCAAAGGCTTCCTCCTCCTTCCATTCCCCAGTGTCACTTGAGTTCAGGCACTGACAAAAGGGTCTGTCCTGGAAATAGTCCTGTAAAGATGCACCAGAGCCCCTGCCCGAGGTGTGCCAGGCTTTGGCTTCTCTTCCTCTGTGTTAGAAATACTCGCTGGAGAGACAGTGGGAGGCTGGTGGCAGCCCTTACGCTTGGCACCACACAGTGCTTCTGCCTGGCAGAGCGGTTTTGATACCCTTTGTGAGCTGTCATTCGTGTGGAAGTTCTGTGTTAGATTACAGCGTTTCACACAAACACATGAGAGACAAGCTGCTGCTGGCACGAGCTGCTTCCATCCCTGCCCGTACCCCACAGTGTTCGGCACAGCCTCAGCCTGCAGCGCAAGCAGTGTGGACTTAATCTTTGCTCCTGCAGCAGGTTGGCCATGGACCATTACAGTCTAGTTTGGAGAGAGACTTTCTGTCCAGGCAACAACCCTTCGTGCCCGGCAGTTTCCACTTCAGCCCTGCGTAGCAAATCAAGTTCAGGCATGCCTGGTACCCCAGGATGGGATCTTCTCACCAGTTGTTCATGCTTTGTGTCTTAACAGTTTTGCTGAATGGAAGCTTATCTGGAGCTGTTGTTTCATTGCTTCCTCTTGCACCTTTATGCACAGTCTGCTCTTCCAGTCCTATATTAACCTAATCTGGAACAGGACACTACTTGTCTCTGTCAGGTATAGAACATCCCTGCTGATAAGAAAAATCCTTCCCATCGGAACTGCAAAACCAGGGAGGTTATGTAAAGAAGGAGTTGCAGTCTAATGTTAGGATGAAAGAATTTCTTTTGAAGATTGGGGAAAAAAGAGTTTTAGGAAACCTGTCTACTACCAAGCAACAGCTCTATGGAACATCACGTACTTGGCTAGTGCTCAGTGGAAGGTATTGTAAATAACAGCCCTGCAACTAAACAAGAAAGCACAGAAGGAAACCAAACCACTCTTGTGTTTAACAGAGCTATAAGTAATAGGTAGTTCATCAGGTCTTTGGAGAGAGAGCTTTTCCAGCTTCCAAGCACAGCACTTCTATTTTTAAAACTGCATCTTTCTCTACGTACTGTCCTTCATATTATACCTGGTTGTGTTAGAGGCTCACAGGGTTGAATTACACTGTGGTTGCAAGTATGGCAAAGCCTCCTCAAACAAGAGGATACTTGTGTGTTGGAGTAGAACAACTTATTGAGGTCACTTGTACATCAGGACACAGTGTCATTGTCCCTGTGCAAAGGTTTTAAGTCAGTTTGTTTTGCAGGGATGAGAAGTGAATATAGGGTTCAGGTTCAGCACTGATCTTCAATTTTTGTCCTAGTTTTACTTTCCTTTTGTGGAGTTCTGTTATTCTGAGATAAATATATGTGCTATTTCTTCTTTTTTGTTACGTTCTTGCAATTAAAAAATGCTATTAGATTTTTGAACATCTTGAGGTTCAACCATACCTCTATAACTTCCTTCTGCACACCTTTAAACCTACTGCTTTTTGATAACTGGGAAATGGATTTTTCCAGTTTCCAGTGTAACTCTCTTCCCTACTTTTTTTTTAACCTCTGAGTTTAGGAAGCATCTTTTAAATGTGCACTCAAGGGTGCTGAAAGTTTCGGTTCTGTACAGTATTTGATAGTATTTGATTGCATCAGGCACAAGCAAACACATCTTACAGCTTCATTGAACTGCTGCTTGTCAGCTCAGCCTCCCTGATGGTCCCCAGTGTGTGTGCTCTTTGATTACTCTGGCACCTCTTCCCTGGTGAGTTCTGACTGCACTGCTAGGAAGGTCTCAGCTGTCCAGGTTTCCACTTTCACCTTCAGCCAGCAAAGGCTCTACATTTGTTTGCTTTGTGTTTTAAGAACTCTGAGGACTTTTGCAGTAGATGTGGTCATTATTCCTTTCCTCTTGTACTCTCTTTGGGTCAGTTCCTAATGCTGAAGCCTGACTTTCTTTTATAGAAGTGGCCAGCTCTTTTCCATCCCTCATTTCCTTTGTTGATGGCAGCAGGAAAAGAACAAATGTGAACTCATCCAGAACTTTCGAGGCAAGGAAAACACATTGGACCATATTATTGGAAGCGGATGGATTTCTCCACAAAGCTATGCTAGCACTGCCACTTCAACAGCTGGGCAGATTTAGCCTCTGCTTAGAGAGCACAGCTGCACTGAGAGCACAAGGGATCACAGCATAAGCACAGTTGAGGCAAGAGATGCCTGAGTGGTGGGGAGGGCTGATGGGAAACATCTGCTTTTGAAGCTAGTAGCTCTGAGGCAGCTACCAGAGATGGCCTGTGAGCTCCCTGTCTCTGGAATTGTCTTCAACTGTCAAAATTCATTATGCTGCCCCCCCTCAATGGGACACAAACTGGGAAAGAAGAGGAGGAATGGCAGCAGGCTGTGAGGAAGGTGTGAGGTGTAGTTTTTGCTTTCCTTCATTCTTGGTTTTACAGGCACTTTGGGGGTTAGTGAGGATCCCACAGGGTAAGGGAAACTTTTGGAACAGAAATCTTTGCCTCTTAAACTTTTTCTGTACTTCTTGCATACTCCAGAGGTTGCCTGCAAAGGTAACCTCAATGTTTGCTCCTTCCCTTGCTTTGACATGCTCCATGGTGGTGTTAGTCAACTTCTCAAGCCTTGGTCTTCCCTTCCTTTCTGTATAATGTCACTGTCTGGATGTACATATGTATGTGTGCATGTGCGAACCGACTTTTCTGTAAAAATCTTTAGGAACCTTTCTAATCTGGGTTCTTGTACTGCACTCAGCTATTCTAAAGGCTCCAAATTGGCAAAACTCAGCCCAGCTTCTGGTTTTTAATCCTTTTGTTTCCTAGTGAGTGAGATCTGCTGCTGGCAGGTCACATCCACAGTGAAGGTAAAGAAAAAGTTCATTAACTGTGTATTTGCAAGCTCTGCTGCACAGAACAACTTAGAATGTTTGGGTAGGCCAGAGGTCCCTTCTAACTACTTTGCACTGGAGTTTTGGTTTGCAGTGTGGCAGGAAAAAGTGGTGAGCTAAGCTGCTCCCAAACCAGTATAAAATAAATCAATTGTACCTATCTTCTATATCCTACAGACTCCCTTCAGTTACGTTTGTTGCATAGAGCCACTAGCCCTTGGCTTATAAACTGATTGTTGCCCGTAGGACCCTTGCTAGTTGCTTGTAGGAAATCGGAACAGTAAAGCTGGCTCTGCTGGGAAGAGCAAATCGCAGCTTTACCCACATCAAGTTACTCGGTACTATGGTGATACTGTTGACCAAACATGCCTGCAGGTCACTGGCTGTGGGCTTACCAAGTCAGAGGGCTGTGTGGTCTCCCTGTTGACATTTGTGTTTCATGTTCTCTTTATATGAGAGAATAATTGCTGATCTCCTTCCGTTCACAGTCCGAAGGCACGAGGCTGCAGAAGGACCTCCGAACTTACTTGGCTTCCGTAAAAGGTAAGGTCTGCATAAGCAGAGGATTGTTTCCCCTCTTGTGCTTGCTTACGCAGTGAGGTTTCTGCAGCCACCCCCTCCCTGGTGTTTCCTCAGATGTGGGTTGTAGGAAAGGTCAGCCTTGTCTGGGTGGGGAATCTTTCAGAATCCTTGAGGAGCAGCTGGTGTGGAATGGAGTTGTGCTTTGATGCCAAATACGTCATAGTGTCTTAGCAGGTAAACTCTCACATCTTTTCCTAGGGGAGGACAAAACACAAAGAGTTTGATAAGATTGCACCCTTGGTTCCCTTTTCCCTCTGGTTACCTTCTGTGTCTCTGTTATCAAGGGTCAGACATTCTGTACTGAAAAGCTTAGCATTTGTTATAACCCTCCTGTGTCCCCATTCCTCAGGGTGAGGGTTAAACTGTGAAGCACACACTATTTCCTTCTTTCTGAAGCAGTTCCCTGTTCTTTCCTAGCCATGCACGAGGCCTCCAAGAAGCTGACAGAGTGCTTGCAGGAAGTTTATGAGCCAGATTGGCCTGGGAGAGATGACACAAATAAAATAGCAGAGGTAAGACTGTCCAGGGTATGGGGTCACCAGGCTTGGTCTGTCAGCAGATACGAGCTTTGGGCTGTGTATCTGTGCACCACATATCTTCAGGCATATGACTTGGTAGGAGAATTGGAGATGCAAACTCAGCATTGGGAAGAAGGGAAAGCAGAAGGGATGTGACCTGTATTTTTGTCTGCGTAGAACACTGTCCCTGGATGCTTAAATGTTACACAGAGCTGTATGTTTATGCCCATAAGTGATTTTTTTTTTTTTCTCTTGGCAGTGGCTAAACAAGGACAGAGGATGCCAAAAAAGAATCAGTAGAGTCAACTGGATGTATTGCTTATGCTTTGTGCAAGGGAAAGGGGAGGGAGGCTAAAATCTATGGCCAAAGCATGGTCAGAGCAGCCATTGTGTAGCTGCAACAACCTCCCACTCACAGCACCACCACCAGGTGCCATGTTTTGGTTGCTACCTCGTTTGGCTGAGCCTGGTGTCACCCCAACCTGCTGTTCTTCTCACACCTTGGTGAGGTGATGCTTGTCCAACTTGTGCAGGTGTTTTCCATGGAGCTTAGGGCACAGCCTGTGAATTGACAGCTTGGATCCCCCTTGACAAGTGCGTATGCTGGGTCCAGGTGGAGGCAGGTGCCCTCTGCTCTTTTACTCAGCTGTTCTGCTGAGCAGCAGCTGTGGCAGTTGAGCTCTGTGGATCCATCTGCCATGAGGCTGCAGGACTGGGCTTGTCTGCAGCTGTCTATGGCACTGGAGCAGTGTGGATAAGGAATAGAGAGGGGAGCAGGAGAGGGACTCTCCCCTTCCTCTGCTTTCCCCTGCAGAAAATCTTACCTGAAATAACATCTGCATCTTGCCCAGGAAATACTGACTTCAAAGCAGATAAATCAAACAAAACCTGAACGTTTCCAGGTCAATTCTTGCATTAACATGGAAACTTGCCTTTAGGAAGTGCTGCTGCAGTAAATAATGGAGTTGTAATTCAACTACTTCGGCTTCACTTTTTCTATTGTTTTTTCCTGAGCCACTACGGTGCCTCCTGGGAGACTGTCCCTTCAGAGAGTTTGAGGAAGGGAGGTCAGAGGGACCAGGGGGCTGGAGAACTAACTGTAGCTACTCTGAGCATCTGCAGGAATGTTTCCAGCCCTCCACCTCCCCCCATTAATGTCTTTGTTTATATTTCTCCCTTTCAGAAAAAGACAGGTAAGAAAAAAGTGCTGTTCCTACCAAAAAAAAAAAATTAAAAAAAAAAAATCCCACATGAAGTGGTCATTTTCCCTGAATATTTTAGCCAAAACCCATTAAGTGGAAAAACAGGAGAGGGGAGCAATCCAGAGTGTTGATGGGAAATGAACTGTGCCTGAGATAAGATCAAGGATGAAGTAGCACTGCAGGCGAAAAGACAGGCCCTCAAAGGAAGTTTCATGAAGGGCTCTGTGTCCTTGGGGAGGCCACTGGATTTAGCAGCATCACGCTTTCTTCTCTGATTCTACAGTTTCAGCGTGACCTCTGTTTTCAACTAATTTCTCTGCTCCTTAGTTTTCCGAAGAGATTACTATTTATTAAGAGCTCTGTGGAACAGAAATTGTTGACTGTTAGGACTTGTGGAGAAAAAAGAGAAAAGCAGCGCTCCGTGTTCTTAACAGCTAGCTCATTACTTTTGTTTTTCAGAACAATGATCTCCTCTGGACAGATTTCCATCAGAAGCTGGTGGATCAGGCACTTCTGACCATGGATACATACCTTGGCCAATTTCCAGATATTAAAGTAAGATTTTCTTTAAACCTTTTGACCTAGAGACTCACGGCAGATGAAACCTGTGAATCAATTTCTCGCATCCCCGTCTTTAGGAGGATGTGTGTGCTGTGCTGCTGCAAGCTCTCCTTTTAGGGCAGCTCAGACCTTTGCAGCTCTGGGTCATGTGAAAATGTTATGTTCTCCTTTTGGGCTTGAAATGAGAGTGAAGAATCTAGGGGAAAGATACTGAAGGGAAAACCTAAGTGGGAAAGAGGAGGATACCTAAAACTTCCTATTGTGTCACAGTGCAGGAGGGCAGCGTCAGCAATAACTTGCAAGCTTTCAGTCTCTTTTTCAGTCCTTTGTTTTTTTAACTTCCTCCATACTTTGTACTACAAGGAAGTAGTGAGTGGCAAATGTGCTTCATAGGTAGAGGCTGGTGTGGAAGGCAGATTTCTGTGTGTTCCCTGAAGTTCAGCTTTGCTTTTTGTGACGAAAAGGGAATGCTGGATGTGTGTCTTTTTGGGGGAGATTGTACGTAGGGACCTGGGTTGGAATGATGTCGTCTCCCTCCCCCCACAGTTACCTCCTCTCCATTCCTTTTGAGAAGGTTATGCAGGAAATGTCTTCACCATATGGAAGCACTAGTAATGATATCACCATATGGGAAGTATCAGCTTGGCTTCTTCCCAGTGAAAACAACCCTTTCCCCACCACATGTCTCTTAGAACGTTTGTCAATATTTGTTGCTTCAGGAGGATCATGCTGTATCAAAGGGGGCAGGTCACAGGCTTGTAAAATGAGCCCTGAACAGCAGTGTCCTTGTCTCCTGGGGCTCCTTGGTTTTGCTTCATTTTTCCAGCGTCTTCTGTCCCTGGAAGTCTGTAATGGGGAAGGGCGAAGCGGTTTGCCGTTGCTTTCCGCCTGCTCAAGGCTGTAGAGCTGATCACTCCCCGTGGCGTGATGCCGTGTGCCTCAGCAGCGCGGGGGCTCGTGTGCTGCTTCCTAAGCAGGTTTTATTTCAGGCTCGCCGTGGACTCATGCTTCTGCACTGCTTCACGTGTCATCAGCCTTGTCGGCTGTGCACTGGGTCGCCTCGGAGTATCACCTTTCTTCTGTGCTTAATGTCTTTGAGACTTCTTAATTCTGCTGGGGTCCTGCTGAGGTTTTACGGTGCGATTTTAAAAAGAGCACAAGATTGGGACCAACCGAATTCCACCAAAACTCAAGGTGTTGGGCACTGAGCGTCCATGGAAGAAAGCTCCATTTCTGTCTTCCAAATGGACCACTAAGGGGTTTATTACTGATGTCCCTTTCTCAATCCTCAGATGATGTTCTAAAAAATAGAAATTACAGCAATTTTATGCACAATTTAAGTAATGCTTTAAAGAGAGCACTACTGACCTCTGCTTCGCTTCCTAAAATAAGAGTTTGCCTTTCTGTTGGTTCCTACTGTGGACATTATTTCAACCAAAAGATGTGGATATTATTTCAACCAAAAGATATGGATATTATTTCACAGAGCTGGCTAAGTGTTTAAAATGGAGTTTCAGTGGTATGAATTTAAAAAGGTCAATATGTTTTTATTGGTAGTTCAGCTGAATGCATCATCCTCCTTACCCCAGAGCAGTGAGAATTGCTCAGATCAAGTCTGGTATCTTCAACTGGCTGAATCTCTTACAAGTACTGTGGTTGAAGGTTGCTACAGTTGTACAAAAGTCTAGTTTGGCTTCATGTAAGGAATTGGAGTTCTTGAGGATGGCAGGCAAAAAAACCTCCAGTCTTAAGTAATTTACACAATATTTCAGTTGTTTTTCATTGATGTGGTAATAGTTTTCTGTTTTGTGTTTTCCACAAAAGCAAATTTCCTGCTTTTCCTGGAATTCTGGCATTACTGTGATAATGAAATATGATTTATGGAGAGAAGATGATTTTAATTTAGCTGTGTGAAGGCACGTTTTTTGTTAACTGCCCAGTAATTCAAATGGGTCATGAGTTAGATCATGCGTGCATTATTTTTTTGTTAAATTCTAACATATTCTGAAATCTCCTTCACTTGAGTGGCTGGAAAAATTCCCTTGAATTTTTTGGACTTCCAATGGGATCCATAGCAAGAATGTGAAAACATAGCATTCCTTTAGTAAGGAATTTTTATAAGTTAAAGGGAATAACTCTTAAATGTTGGGTGGGGAGAGGTGAACAAAGCCTCTCTGTCTTCTGTAACTCGAAAAACAGGAATGCAGAAAGTACGTTATCCTTTCTTTGCCGGTCAGTACGTATAGCTTCTTGGAGTAGGACTCTTGCATAACACACAGTATTTCTGAGTGAGTTTCTGGTGGAGGCTGCAGAGTATTCAATGAGACTACAGGTCTCTGCAGTGAGTCCAGAGATGAACCATAACCCAAGTTCTGAATAGCTGTGGAACTGGTGATTTTTTTTTTTTTTTTTTTCTGTCTTGCAATGAAACTGGTAGTTTGTTTCTACTAGGTCTAGACTCAAATATTGGTAAGGGGAGGAAGTGTTTTGTGGTCATGTGGGTGTGTTTGGTGCATGGGGGTGGGTTTCTTTGGTGTTTGTTTGTTTATTTTTGGGTTTTTTTTGCTTTTGTTTTTTAGGAAGCTTAAATTAAGATGGATTTTATTGCAAAGCAGTAAACTGTTGGAGTTCAGCTTTTACCATCAGATAGTGGTGGGTGGCTGCAGCTCTCCTAGAGTCACACAAGGAAGCTACCCTGCAGCCTTCCAGGACTGGGCTGTGTCTCATTACTGCCATCACAGGCACTCGTGTGACCAGTGGATACTCACAGTGTATCCCTACCTTGCAGCATTTCCACGTACTGTTGTCGTTTCCGTGTACTCTAGCAGAAACATGAGGGTGGGGATTAGAAGATTGGGGGCTGCAAAAAAAGGCAGAAGTGACCTTTTTGAGACATGGGTAACTTTGATTCAAACTCCCTGGTGGGGTGCAGGGTAACCTACAAGTGACTGTCGTGTCACAGAGGTGGGTAAAACTCTAGCTATCTCTACCAGTCTGATCTGAGGGGAAAAGATGCTTTCTCTTCAATCCATAATCTGGGCATGTGTTTTATCTGGGGCGTGTGTGGAAGATGCATTAACTAGCATCTCAGAGGTTGTCATGCTGCTGGAAGCCAGCCTCCCTGTGACATCCTGTCTCTGTCCCTGGCTGGCAGCGTGATGCTGGGGAGGTGTCTTCTAGTGACCCCAACTGTGAGGTGGCTCAGCTTCGTCGTGATTCCTCTCTTGGAGTGAGCTGAGTGCTTTGAAATCTGTTTGGATATGCGTGTGGCTGAGATCCTGCAGATCTGCCGTGACTCACACAGAGCTGCCCCAGCATTTGCTGAAAGTGCAGAGGAGCATGTGTAGGAGACGTGCAAACTGGTCCCAGCTGGTCTGGCAGAAAGATCAGCCCTGAGTGTGGTTTTGCAGTTTATCTAGAAGAGCCGTGGGAGAGGAGACCACATCTCCCTGCCAAGTGCAGTGGAGGGGGGGACTTTGCTTTTGCAAGTAAATCCCAATGCTGATTCCTAATCTTGCGCTTTCAATTCCCCTAGGTGCTGTGGTTAATTAGAAACCCTCCTGGCCCCTTGCCATGCCTTTTCACTCCAGTTCTCCAGCCTGGCTCTAAACTGCTGGTTACTGACGCTGGGCCAGGCTATGCAAGCTGGAGTGCTGCTAGGGTCAGGCTGAGAAGACTTGTGCTTGTAGAGAGTGTGGGGGTGAGGATCTGAGGAGGGTGGATGGTTCTTAATCCAGTGGGCCTAAGGCTTGCCAACATGAATCCCTGCGGCAGGAGAGAGAGCCTGAAGCACTCCAGATGAAGAGGGGTAATGGAGGATCAGGCTACAGGCCTGACAGTCTGTTCTGGATTCTCACCCATGGGCCTGTCAGGATTCCATTCCTGAACACGTGTCTGGTACACGGTTGGGTCCTTCCTCACATTTGTTGTGGCCTCAGTATGTCTTGCCTATTAGTGACCCAGTGCTACAGCTTTTCCCTTGCCTTTCTTTTTCTTAATAGCTAATTACAATGGACCACTGCCTGCGGCTGCAGCCATTTCTGTATGGACTCCTGTTGCAGGGTCAAAACTGCTGTCCTAGGCATGTTCTGAGCACGTGCTTTTTGCTGTGCTGGTAACAGAAATGCCTTCTTGAACTTAATCTTCTGAGCTTCCACATGAACTAGGGCTGTGAGCTGGTTGGTTAGAGTCTGGCTGCAGCCCTGTGGAGGCCCTGGAAATGATGATGTAGGCACATGAGGAGGCTTAGGAAGAGCCGGAGCTACAGTTCTGAAAACATTAATTGGGGGGGCCTGTTGGTTGTGTCCCTTTACTTTCCCTGGAGGGTTTTCCTCCCTCTGGAGTGGTGGTTGTCACAGGTGGCTCCCAGGGCCACCTCTCTGGGCAGCCTGTGTGGAATATCCAGTGAGTGTCCTTGTGTGGGTAGAACATGGGGCTTTCTGGAAGTTGGGTGAAGAGTGGGGGCTTTTTCCTTAGAGGCTGTGACAACTTTTCCTTAGAGTTGTGACAACGCTTTTCTCCATCTTTCTTAGTCTCGTATAGCGAAGCGAGGAAGGAAGCTTGTGGATTATGACAGCGCCAGACACCACTTTGAAGCCCTGCAAACCGCAAAGAAGAAGGATGAAACCAAAATCGCGAAGGTAAAGCAAGCAGAAGGATGTGCAGCCATCCATTCACTTCATGATGTCTGCATTTGTCTTACTGAGCATCTTCTAAGTGCACCTCTACCTCTTCACTGGGCGTGTTTTGTTCAGAGAGGTGTCGTGAACTGGTGAAGTTTGGCTAGGTATTTCCTTCTCATTTGTTTAGTTCTAGAAAGCAGGGAGGTCTCTCTTTTGTTGATTCAGACTCACCATCATCAGTGAGCATCTCTTGGCGGCCAGAGCCGCCATGCACTTCCTCAGATGCTGCAGGATGCCTAACCCCTGTCAAGAAAGTTTATGTGCCTCTGGGAGAAGCAGTCTTGCACTGCCCCAGCAAAATTTGCCCATTTTTGTCTGCTTCTTGGGGCTCTGTCTCCCTGTCTTACCGCAGTGTTTGAGTGTTGCTTGGGGTTGGTTGTGTTTGTAGTCCTCTGATATTCTAAGACAGAGACCCTTAGGAGTGTGAATTACAAGTCTGTTGGTGGAAATGCACCCCATGTACACCTGATGACTGTTCTGTTGGTCACAATTACTGGACAATAAATATGGCTGAAAGAAGGAAAGCAGTTTTCTCTTGTCAGGGTGTGGTTTCTTTCATGCCTGTGAACAGCTTGATCTAGGGTTAACCCCAGAGCATGCACAACATGCAAGTGCAGGATTTTTTAAAAAAATTAAAATAAATGTCATTAAAAATAAAGTTTAGATTTTCTTTTAAATGTAGCTGAAGAAAGGTGATAGTGCTAACCACCTTCTAGAGAAGGTGCATGGTTTGAGTACCTGCCCAGAAAATAAACTGTGGATTATTCCTGTACCCTGAGTGGATTTGCACCCATGGGTTCACCCCACAGAACAGGTCTTGACACAACAGAATAGTCCAGGACTGGGGAGACATCTTTAGTTCTCTTGAATGTGGGCCATGGCACATCGGGACCCTTCAGGCTAGAAGCAGTGCAGGAAAGAAAGAGCCTTAGATCTATATTTTTTTTTTTTTTTTTAACCAGGTTGAGAAGAGTTGTCGTCTTTTGTTTAGGATTATTTCTGGTAGGAGGTTTCTCCTGCATGGAAGAAATAAAGATGCATCTCTCCCCTGAGTGAAAGATCTGCATTTAATGGCCAACTGACAATACTTTTATTTTTAAGCTGCAAGTCATCAGTCATTTGCTCACCCAGTACGTGCACTGTGATTAACCTTGAAAGACAAGGGGGAGAGAGATGGATGGCTCAGGTGTCATTGCATCATTTGTGTGGCAAAGCAAGTCTTGGTTCTGTATGCGAGGCATGAGGCCCGGCTGGTTGTGCCTTCTGCTCAAAGCAGTACTTCACTGTGTTTGTGGGTAAGAGAAGAATTTCCCTGAGGCCTGGTATTAAGTGTTATGTATTTTCTGGTGTGTGCCTGTGGGATCTGTGCAGCAGTGAAAATGTTTTTTGTAGGAATTCATCTACTCAAGTTGGTACCTGGTGATCTGCCTGCACCAAAGAGGCTGGCCACCTTTGTCGTTGCTGCACTTGCTCATGTTGCCTCAAATGTTCACGTAAGACATTATTAAGAAGGGATTGTTTGTTGTTCCTTTGTTAAAGTATGGAGAACAGTGCAGTCTGAAGAGTGAAATGTTGAGACTTAGGAGTTGGTGCTCTGTTCTTGATTCAGCCTGTGCTGGTGTCTCTTACTACTTGATTGGAATCTTCTCGTTAGCCAAAATGTACACTGGATCAGATCTTTCCACCCTCTGTGCTTTAGGCTATAAGCTCATGCATGGGATAACGTGACACATTGCACTGTCCTGATCCTGTACAGATGGGAGCAGTTATGTGTGTACGCTCTTCTCACAAATGGGCAGGTTTCACAGCCCAGCCTGTGATCCCATGCTAGCAGTCACGCAGCTCTGCAGGGCTGTGGGCAGCAGCCAGTGCTCAGCGTGCACCAGGCTGATGCAAGAGGTTCGCCTCTGTGACTGAGATTTTGCTCATGTGACCTTTGATGCAGGGTTGTTCTAGTGTAAGGTGCTTTGGAATATGATGACAGGCCCCTAGGGAAGAGAAATCTTGTTTATGACACAGCGTACAAATAGATGGGATCTGACTTGATTTGAAGTTTCATGGTATAGGAACACAAATAGCAATGCGAATACTTTTTGGAGCTATATGGGCTCTTCTCTAATATATGGATGTTCTTTTCCCACTCAGGACTCCTACCACTTACTGCTAAACTCACAACTCGCCATAAAATAAAGCACTGTGGACTTTCAGCTGTTGCATGCAAATAATTATGGTGGTTAATTAATCCTGACCTCTTTTTCAAGGAGCTCTCGCTTCACAGCCATGACTTGGAGTAGGGTTGTCTGTGTGCTAGGTCACTAACAACTGTATCTGTTGCTCTTTGCAGCTGCCTGGCTGGTCTGCAGTACCCCAGCCCACACTGGAGCATTAATTTCTGCTAAACTTGGCATGCTTCAAAGGATTCATAACTGATCCGTCCTGGGATATTTGTTGGTGGTTATTTTTTCTCTCACCTTGGTGCTGCTGGTTTGGCCCAGCCTCTAGAAACACGATTGTGATTTTAATTTTTTTATCCTAAAAGATATATGTTTGTGTCTCTCTTGTTCTCTGTTTATTTTTTTCTCTTTTCACTCAAACATGCTCCCTCCCCCAGCCTGTTTCGCTGCTTGAGAAAGCTGCGCCTCAGTGGTGTCAAGGGAAGCTACAAGCTCACCTCGTTGCGCAAACTAATCTGCTCCGAAATCAGGTGACTGCTGATCTACCTGGCTCTAACCCTGCATGTGCTATTTTGGGCTCTAGATCGTACCACGCAACTCATCTCTAGGCAACGTTCACTCTAGTCCCCTCTGTTAAGCGTGTCCTTGGTACTCCCGAGCCACAGCCGACAAGTGGAAGGTGCTGACCGATGGATGATTCTGTGGCTGCCTGATTGATTTCTAATCAGGTGTGCTAATACTGGACTGTGGTTTTCTCTCCCTAAAATGAAATCAGGATGAAGAAAGGCTATGGAATAACACCAAGACAGAGGGTGATGTAATGTAATTTCTCCAATTATTCCTTACTTTTTCTTCAAAGAGAAGCAATCAATTTTTATTGTTGCTGTTTCAAATAAAAAAAAAGAGGAAAACATTGAAAAAAATTGGCTTCTCATTTCTGCTGTTGAGTAAAGCCAAGAAAAAAAAGCACATTGCTTCAAAAGCTATTTCTATGGCTGCAGAATTAAATTGCAACATTCTCCCACGGTAAGATCCAAGTTTCCAAAATGGGCTCTGACCTGGCTCTTGAGGTGTAAATGAGCTGTGTCCAGGTGTACAGAGGTTCAGTCTGCAGAGAAGCCCAGACCAGGGAATTTCTACCCCGTGTAATACATTTGAACAGTTCCAGGTTGAGGTCATGGTTGCAGAACTTGGCCGAACATGTTGGTTATAGCATCCTGAGGGACACGAGAGCAGCTTGGAGAAACTGCAGGGACTAAGAATTTCAGTCCTATTTGCGTAGGAGAAGTGTGGCTTCCTGATGAAATCTCCCTTGGTATTTGCCTTCGAGTTCCTTAAGGGGTAAGAGGGAGCTGACAGAAAACAGTCAGCAAGAAGAAAACTCTTTCCCTGGGCAAGGGATCGTAAATCATTACCCAAGCTGGGAGAGTGCCAGTTACCTGCTCAGAGTTCCTGGTGAGCTCATCTGTTCTCATTCAAACGCTCCTAGTTTTCACATTCCTTGTCAGTGAATGGATTGCAGTTTGGAAACACTAAACTGCTCTCACCTTATAAAGCACCTGGGTTTTTCACAGGCAGTTTATGACTGCAGATCAGGGAAAAGGCTAGATTACCACATCAGTAAAGCCTGGGAAGAGAACAGCTGTTAGCAGCCCTGCTTCAGATGCATAGTGAAGGGAGGAAATATGTATTCATTCTTGATTGAAGGGAGAAGGACATTTGGCAGGCTGCCGGGGGCTTTTCCTGTGCCTCTGCTGGGAACGATTTGCATGGTTGTGGTTCTTGACTGGTCTGTTTCGCTGGTGGTATTTCCAGAGGACTGGAAAGCAGGTATGGGAAGTTTCTCAAGCCACAGATAAATAAATCAGCTCTTGGGGCATTTTTCCTCTTCTCAGACTGGCTGGGGTGACTGGGAGCAATACCACTGCCCACAGATTGCCTGGAGAAGCAGTACCCACGCCTGCTCCCTCATCCATTGCACTCTGATCTCAGACGGGCTACCCGCAGTCGATTGATAATTTCACTGTACTGGGTGAAATTTCACTTGCCCTAAAGCAGGTGACAAGGGGGTATGCAATCTTTCCACCCTCTGTGTTGTGGGAGTGTTAACCTCCTGCTAAGCGACATCAATATTTTCATTCACCCCAGATATTTTCAAATCACGTTAAGACCTCCTTTAAGTTTTTCCTCTTTCATTCTTGAACTAAATAATACTATTACCAACCTTCATTTTTTTGTTTCTACTTCTGCGAGTTTGTGGTTTGGTTAGGTTTTTTTGTTAAATTTTTGATTGGGGACTAACCAAAAAAAAAATCTCAATAGAGAAGATTGGTTTGTATTCTGAACCTGTAGGTTTTCCTTCTTTTCTTTACAAACACAAGCAGGCAGGAAAAAAAGAAAAGGTGTCAGTTTTTATGTTTGCACGTCTTTAAGACTGAAGGTGTTACTGACAACCTTAATCTCATTAAGTTCCTGACAAAAGGAGGAAGGCTGATGACAATGCATTTATTGAAGTGCTTCAGAAAGCTAAGCCTGAAAAAAGAAGAAAGTCCTTCCCCATACCAGCAACTGTGTTGCTGTCTCTTCTTGCCTCATAATTTTACACCCACCAAACAAAAATGGGGTCAGCAAGACCAATTATTTCAACTCTGTAAACCCAAGTCTCTCCCTCCAGTGTGCAAACTGCTGGCTTTTCAGGCCTTTAGCAGATATCTAACAAAAACAGTACAGTGGGGGCTTTCTGTAGAGCCTCCTCGGGGGTTTGCTGTTGCATGCTCTCAGTTACAAATTTTGTCTACCGTGCTTTTTGAAACAAAAGGGAATGTGGCTTAGAACAGCAAATTCTTGCCTTTTTGCTGAGCTCCCCTGAAATGCTGAATACAGACTAAAAAGCAACATCTTTGGCGCTGCAGCGATAACAACGCTTCTGTGTCTGTTCCTTACCCCTGCTCACAGAGGTCTGAACTATTTACTGAGCAGCACCTAATTACCACAGTTCACAGCATAGTGTTTGATGAGAAATGGTCACCAGAGTGCCTGGAAGTACCAGGCTTGGTGTTGCCAGACACTCGTGAGTGCGGCGATGGTAGGAAACATAATGGGGAGTAACTGCCCTCCTGTCAGAGTTGAAAGGGTTGTGCTTGGCACTCTGATCCTTGGCTAGGGGAAAGGTGAGGAAAGCATTTGTGTTGCCCAGCTCCTGCTCAAACCTTCACCCTTTCAGGTAGGGAGAGGAGAGGAAGAGTTTTCTGAGATCACGTTTCAAGGACCTGGGTGTTACAGCCTTCTGCCTCAGTTCTTCATCAGGTTGGCAAGGATGACAGCTGAAATGGAAGGCGCACAGATACGGTAGCAATGGGCCCTGCCCCTGAAACCTCTATCTTTCCTCCTTTCCTCACCATACTGCATGAGCTGTCTTTCTTCTAGTAGGGCTCATGACCAAGCAGATGTCTGTCTTTGGCTCTAGCTGGAAGCAGTCAGGGCTATCCAGTATCAGGACCCCTGCTTACAGGCAAAATAAATCCCACTGGTGAGAAGGTCCCTGGGCTGACAAAGGAGTGAAGAATTAGTTCAATGCTGTACCTGGGACTGGGAGCTGTAGCTGAGCCACAGGCATCAGATGGATCCCTGTTTCCTACAACTACTCTAGAGTGAACGTTGCCTTTGCCTCGGGATGTCAGAATAGTCTCACATTGATTTCTAGGTTCACTGACCTTCTGAACAGATAAACCAGAGAGGCAAAGACTGTTAATATGCACTGTGTCTGAAAAACTGACAGCATTCAATGGTGCCTCATCTCCCAGATTATCCCATCTCCTGGGTTGACTCTGGTTCCGTTCTAGTTTGGAAATTAGAATACGACAAAGCCAAAGGATGCACTGGGATGTTTTCCTCCCTTTAAAATGGTTACATTGGAAACATTCATTCATAGAGGGATTTTAAAACAGAATGAGTCTTTGTAATCATCATCTGTGATCCAGCATAAACTGTGTGTCTGTTTAAATGGGCTTTTTGTTTGTTTTCTGCAAACTCCCTCAAAATGTTGCATTTTCCAGTGAGCATAGCAGCGAAATGCAGGGGTTTCTGGCCTCTTTTCCCCCTGCCTATTCCTCACAAGGTCTGCTTAACTTTTTAATACCTCCCAGTCATGTAATTTTCTGGGGGAACCTTTATCTTCTGATCTTGAGTACAAAGTCTTAGCCTTGCCTTTGGCAGCAGTGAGTGACCTGCTGCAAGTTGGAGCTAGATGGAAAGTGTCGGAGACTCCATGGCTTGCTTGTAAGTAAGGAGAGAAATGGAAAGTGTAAGGATCCTACGCAACACGGTGAGGAACAGGACTCTGAACTGCAAAATATTTCCAAGTCCTTTCTCCCATCAATCCTATCTTTGCATATCCATGTCACTAAGGAGCAGTAAGCTGGATTCCTTTAATTAAGCTGGCAGAAAGAAGATAAATCTTCATTTCATAGAAGGGGTGGGAATCTGACTGCAGACTCATGAAGAGATCGTTCCCCGGTGGCTTGCGGGCTCTTTGCAGAGCCGTGTGGTGTTGTGACATGCCTGCTGTTGTCACACATACAAGTAGGCAGTCGCGCTGACCATCCTGTTAAGATGTGTCATTAAGTTGCTGGTGCAGGGATTTGCTATCCTGCATCCTACTGCACGGGGAGTATGCTGTGCTGTTGCAAATTACAGAATAGAAATATATTAACTAGCAAGACTTGAGTTTTAAGTCAGGGCACTGGAAAGAGGAAGAGGTCACTCAGGACAAATTTGGGAAGGGGAATGTGCTTGCTGCTGGTGTCTGCTGTCAGCAGAAAACCAGGATCATCCTTGTTGTCACTGAAACCCGACAGAATTCATGCATCGGTGCTGGGGTCTGTTAGTGTCTAGGTTAAACGAACAGATCAAATTTAAACTCTCAGCTAGGAGAAGGAGGTCCTGTATGAGGTGTATTTTCTTTGGTGTGGGTGGCCAACAGCCAGCCAGGGATTGTTCATGGGTGAGACCACTGAAACCAAGCCCTGCTGCTGAAGCCCCCCAGCCTGGCCTCCTGCTGCCACAACTGCTGCTTTGCCTACCCTTCCTTGCTTCTCCGGTCGGCTTTGTGAGGGCACTGTGTCAGCCAAGGATACAGACCTCCTCCATTCTTTGGAAGAGATGGGGCTTTGACATGACCTTACCCAAGCAGAGGGTCCCCACGGGCGAGCATTCTTCTTCGATGCCATTTAGGATTTCTGCTCTTTCCGAGACCTGGCAAGGGGCAGGGGCCACTATTAAATTAATCTGTGTCCAAGCTGGAAGTTGAACTGCCTGACTGGCTCCATTCAGTTTTTGAAGCCAGGGAAATCTATAGAACTTAAAACACATTAGTGGATGTTTGAATTGCTTTCTGAGTACTCAAACAGGAAAATCCATTGTGAGATAGCCTGAGAGTAACACATGCAAGCTGAAGGGGCATCAGGTCACCTGTGGTGCAACCCTGGTTCCTGGGAGACTCATTTGGGATGGAGATTACCCCATGGCAGAATTTTGCCTGGTCTCCCAAAGAAGTCAAAAGAGTCACACTTATCCCAGGCCTACAGGGTACTTGTCTGTGCTGGAGTTGACAATCTCCCTTCTCTGTTATTAAGGCTGAAGAAGAGTTAGTAAAGGCTCAGAAGGTGTTTGAAGAGATGAACGTTGATCTGCAGGAGGAGCTGCCTTCACTGTGGAATAGGTGAGTACTGAAAGTTTTCCCAAGGGATGGTTGGAAGGAAGCAAACATCCAAGATCTTGTATCACTGTTCTCCTTCGCTCAGAACAGGTGTCTGCTCTTGTTTTCTAGATCATCTCAGGGAGTCTGTCCTAGAATTCTCCCCAGCCAGGTTCACCCTGGGCTTTCTGTGCATTGCTTTATGATCCTCATGAAAAACTCAGTTTTATCACAAAGAAAAACTGTTTTTCTATGTTTTGTCTGATTAATCCCTTTGCCCCACCAACTCTGCCCAGTTTTCCTGGGCAGTGGCCAGCAGACAGAGGAGGCTGGGTCACTGAGACTTTGGGTGTGGAGCTGGCTGGAAGGAACATCTGCAGCTGAGTAGGTATGTCAGCTCACTGATCAAAGGAAGATGAGATGTCAGAGGGGTTTACGCAGTCACTGGGGTTGGAGGCATCCAAGAAGTGATTACTGTGTCTCACCATGTGAGCTTATGAGCACCTTGTGGACCAGCAGGTTTAACACGAGAGGGAGGCTGAAAGGACAGGTCGCTCTTCTTTGGATGCCACTTTCAGTTTTGGGCAGTTGGGTGAACAAAGATGAGGGAAGGATCCTGGTGTGGCTGCCTTCTCTTGCCCCTGCTTGTGCTCCTGCTTATGTGACACAGAACCCAGTGAGGAACTAGGTGTTGTAACTGTCCTGTTGTGCTCTGTTTAACAAAACATAGCCTGGGCAGAGGAAAATGGGCTGTGGCAATAGGAAAACTTTGAGAGACCATGGATTTGCCATACCAGTGATTATGGTGATGAAAAGGAGGAGAAAAAAACAGACCAACAGTTTGCTTGGAGAATGAACTGGAGGGTAGCAGAAACTGATGCATGGGAAGGGCACAGTAGAAAGCAGGCAAAATCCTCCTAGGACTGTTCTAGTTACTTATTTTTAAATGCAGTGATCACGTCTGGGTTGGCGGTGCTGGCTCTTTGCTTTAAGGCCTAGCTGAGGAAGGAGCTAGGAGGGATACAGACATCTGGGTGGCTCCGAGCGCAGAAGAGTGATGCCACTGTCCTTAGAGAGCATCTGCCTCCTGCTGTTGCTCCCCCAGCTGGGTGCTGGAGCAGCACTCTGTTGGCAGCTGCCAGGCCGGCTAGAGGAAGGAGGGTGGCAAGCAGCTGCTGAGATTGCCACAGGTTGTTCACAGGCTCCTGCTGTGCAGCTGATCCTTCTGCTTTCCTGTTGCTCTCTGTGCCTATCCTTTGTTTTCTTACTCTTCTGCCCCTCAAGCAGACAGTTCATGCTTTTTCACTTCCCCTGGTGCTGAGGGACTTTAGAGTGGATTAATATCTGTCCTCCTGCCAATTCCCCCAGCTGTCCCCACATTCCATTGGCATCACATTTTCTATCCCATTCCTTTCCATCACCTTACCACTGGTGCTCTTTTTCTTTCCTTCTTTCACTCCCCCTGCCCCACACCTCCCTCTCCCTTTTACCAGCACCAATTCAGATCCTATCCTATCTGGCCTCCTCCTCACCTTGGACATGGTTGTGCCATACCTGGCCTTTGCTCCATCACCCCCTTCCTGCTTCTCTGCCATCCTTCTCTTCCTGCATGTACCAGACCTGATGGAGTGGTGGGTGGAAGGTAGCAGAAGGGGCAGAACTGACAGTTTTTGGGAGAGCATTATGTCCATTAAGTTCTTCTATATCATTTTTCATTTGGCAGTCGTGTTGGTTTCTACGTCAACACATTCCAGAGTATAGCAGGCCTAGAAGAGAACTTCCATAAAGAAATGAGCAAGGTAAGGCAAATAACAGCTTATCCTACTAACACACCCTCTTCTCTCTGTTGTTAAAAAAAAAAAAAAATCTGGAAAAAACAGCTGGAGAAAGCAGAGCATTTACCCCAGAGTGGAGGAAAATGTTAGCCCTTAGTGTCTTCTGAGCCACCTAGGAGAAAGGCTGCCTGAGATAGTAATGTAAAGGGATGGAACACAGGGAGGAGACCACAGAGCCGTGCAGCAGTGGGGTTTTTTTGTCACTTGGCAGAGCTCATTTGCAGATCCCTAGAGGGATGGGAAGCCACTTCCAGTAAGTGCTTAGCATGGCCTTTGCATGGGCTAACAGTTGGCCATGGGTCTGGAATCACAACAGTAAACAGTGCTGTACCTGGGGGTGGCAGGCTCTGGATCTTGGTGCTCTGTGCCAGCACCCAGCAGAGACCTCGGGAATGGTCTGTGGGAAACCCCCCCAGCACCACTTTCATTTACAAGTACGTTCTTGTTCATGCACTTAAAAACTAGAGAAGTCATGAATTCCTTAGGATTCTACGCTGTTCCTGAGTTGCACACCCTCTGTAAACATTGCATTAATCTTGATGAGTGACTTGAGAGCCCAGCTGGAAAACTCTTGTATTCCCTCCTCTCCCCAGTGTCATCCTGACAACAAGGCAGCCGCTAAGCAACAGGCAACATTATCGCCCTTCAATTCCCAGCAGCCAGGGGCCCTCTGCCTGGGTGTAATGCATCAATTCTGAGCCCTACTGATGTTTCATGGGGACCTTTCCAATTAATAGCCTGAGGGAGGGTTGTTACAATTATCAGTTTATTACTGTTAACTTACATTCAGCAAAATATGGGAAAGATGCTAGTTAGACAGGAATTCTCCTCTTGTGTCATGTCTCGGATATTTCTTTCCTGAGGAGTTTTGTATGAGAGCAGGGCTTTTGCTTTGTTCCATAAGAACCATCTGTTTCTTATTACTGCTATAGTATCCAATTAACTGGTGGTGTTGCCGGCATGATGCTTCCAGCATTGATTGCGTTGGATCCCTCCTCCTCCTCCTCCTAATGATATATTTGGCATCTCATCTTGTTTGTGAATCGGCTGTTTCAGAATAGGAGTGTCTGGAGTGAATATTGCAGCCTTTGGTGCCAGGGAGACTTTAACCCCTAATATTGCATTTTTGCAAAGATACCCAGGTCCTGCCCAAACCTAGGTGGCCCTGGCAGGCTATGAAGTCAAGGCTTGCTGTTGACTGGAAGTCCAGCTGACTTCAGCCCCATGGTTCAAATGGCCACATTCCAAGCTTTATGAGCAGATCTGAGGAACAGCTTTGGCTACAGATCTATAGAGAAACTTCAGTTCTAGCACACAGACCATCAGGTAAATCTGTTGTGTGCTTCTGCAATGGTTCCTGGCAGCACTTTGGTGGGGGCAGGTGATAGAGAAGCGAAGAGGATGGTGTGCAAGGGAGACAGAGCAATCCCACGAGGTGCCAGCAGTTCTTCAACAGACTGAGCACTCTAGCATTTCATACACCACAGAGGAGTGGAAACAGATGTAGGGCTGTCCTCTCTTGGGATAGTTAAATATGTGCACATGTCTGGGCACAAATCTGTGTTTGGTCAGCCTGTGCAGGCCAGACTCTCTTCTGGCACTTGGGGCTATTCTCTCATCCTTTTTCTCTTTTGTTTTTTCTCTTTTGCAGTTGAACCAAAACCTCCATGATGTCCTGCTGGGTCTAGACAAGCAGTACTCAGGCAATGCCTTTCCCATTAAAGCACAGCCCAGGTCAGTAACTGTGGGAGCGGTGTCTTTCTCTCTGCGAGGGAGGACGGATAGGGATGTCTCTGCTAGCGGTATCAAAACCTCCACGTTGTCTGCTGGGGAGTGATTTGACTGCCTGCGTGTAGCCAGCCAGTGCCCTCCAAGGCTACTTAGAGCATGTCCAAGACTGTGGTTGAGGCTTGGAGACACAATGCAATACCTCTTACCTCTCTAGAATAGCATCTGGAGGCCTAAGCTTTCACTACATGCTTGTTTTTAGGCAACTTTCATCTCTTTTTTTTTTTTTAAGCTGAATTCCATGCATTGACATGTAATACTGAGCTGCCCTTCCTTCTGGGTCCAGTTGCCCAGCACCTGTCCTGTTCTTTCTCTCAAAAGCTTCCCCCATGTACCTGCAGCTTGTGAGCCTGAGCACCAAAAGCCCATTTATTTCCCCAGCTTCCTCCTTTGGCTCTCCAAACCTGGAACCTCCCGTTTGCAAAATCATTTTGCCCCTCCTATGTACCCAGCTGGGATGCGTTTCCTCTCTCTCCATGTAGTGGCAGCCTCACTGATACAAGGCCTCCTGATCTCAGAGCACTTCCAGTCTGCACATATCCAAGGAGTGAGTGTCCTCCAGGCCATTAGTTTTCTTTCCTGAGCTGGATCCAGTCCTGTTTGGTTAAGTGCAAGTCTGCACATTTTCTAGGACTGAGAGGGGAGGGAGAGGTCGGACTCTGGATGAGGCCGTGTCTGGCTCCTGTCCAAATTCGTGAGTGATGAAACAGCATTGGGCTCTGGCTTCCAGCTGCTGCTGATCTGACGTGCTGGGGGAGCAGGAGCACAGCCCACATCCTCAATTGGTGTATTGATGGAGGGAGGAGGTGAAGTCAGCATGAAGTATGGGCAAGCTGCAGTCTGAGTGCATTGATTTGGAAGGGCTAGATCAGCTGTTGAGACCTCTGTGCTCCCTTGTCACTCCTCCCAGTTTAACCTCGTGTTGCAGTCGTGTGTTGATGACTTGCGTGTCTTGTTCCAGCGATGTGTGTGGTGTTTGCCAACTTTAAAGAAAGAAGACATTGGAGTCAAATTTGACCCCTCAATTTTGGATTGCTAACACAAAATTTCCAAGATGCTTGTAGAAATGCTTCTTGTGAAAATAGTATCTTCTTCCTGAGTTAGCATGTGGTGACTGTTGATCACCGCAGCCCAACAAGACTGAAGCCTTGTGAGGGGGCTGTGGTGCCCATCCTCTTGCTGCTATGTGTGGTATTGTCTGTGATGGCAACAGAGAGAGCCCTGGGAATGGGATGAGGTAGCAGGACAGATGAAGGCTGTAGACATTGCTCAGTTCAGCTGAGATGCCAGACCTGCCCCAGAGCGACACTCTTCCCCCTGAGCACAGTGGAGCAGGGTGTTGTGGGAGGACGTAGCAAAGGTCTGACAGGATAATAAAAGTGTTTTGCAGTGGCTGGGAAATGCTGCAAGGCACTTCTGTCTCTCCTCCACATCTGGCCTGTCATTGTGGCACAGGGCTGGAGCGAGAGCATGCAGGAGGAAATAGCCCTCACGGATCTGATTGCCCATTGTAGTCGGCAGTAGGAGCAGATGCTTCCCTGTTTTCTAGTGGGAAGGGAGTTGGAGGTGGATACAATGGCAGGAAATGAAGGAGGAGGTGTGAGAAGAGAGGCAATTATCTGTGTACATCATTATGGCATTGGTGCAATGCCCTGCAGAAGTGTTACTGTGGCTGACAAATCCGAGGCTGGCTATGTAGCACAGCAGCACAGACCAGCTGATGTATTTCTGGGCACTTCAGACACGTTTGGGATTTGTTTTTGAAAAAGTTTGAACAGTCAGGGCTCAGATGCCTAGGAGACTTAGGAGATCTGTAGCATTATCCTAGTGTGATTGAAAAACTGGAAAGAGGCATAGTAGGAAAGCTGCTGATTAGATACCATGTATAAGACTGTGCACAGATTGCATATGTAAAGGAGAATGGGGAGGTTGTTTCCTGTGTACCAGTATTTACAGGGGAGAGTGAGGAGCTGTGGTTACCTGTGAAAAAGGACACTGACATTCTCCACTGGTCTGTACAGTTTCCTTTTTCTTCTTACACATGTGCAACCTGGCCCCATATTCCAAAGAGCAGGGAAAACACTAGTTTTCTCACATATATGCAGATCTTTGACAGTCCCAAAAAGCTCTATCCCACCATCTCCAAACCAGGCCATAGCTTTCTAGGAACTAAGGGAGGTGTGTACGTGTTTCTCTGTGTGTGTGTGAAAGAGTGAGAGAAGAGACCTTGTCGTCTTGATTGCAGTGAGTTTTGTGGCACCAAGTGAATGGCTTAACTTTTCTTCCCTGGTTTGACTGTGCCATCCTGTAACGGAAATGATTTGCGTGCCATCCTCAACAGAAAGAAAAATAAACTGTTCGCCAGGCTGAGGAAAAAGATGAGCAGGTACCGGTACGGAGAGCAGCATTTCGATACGTGTTCGATTTGGTTCCTAAAACTGGAGAGGCTGTTGCTGGACTCTAACAGCCTGGCACGTGTTAACCCTGTGATGGGAGAGGGGTCCTTTGCATGATACGGTGTGTTCATGGCCTGCTGGGTCCTGCTGAGACCTCTCTGTGTCTGGATAATCCCATTAACTGCTTGTGTGCCTGGTTTGAATCCTTGCTTTTTTTCCTCTCCAAGAGGGCAGCATCAAAACTCGGGCATTGTCTGTTTAGTTGTTTTTGTGTGACTAAAAGCACGGTGCTGGGTTTTCTATAGGAAATACAAGCAATTTTGGTGATTGACAGGTTCTAGTTTTCCCTAGTGGGGCTTGCCCATTTGAACAGGTCTGAAATGCTGCATTTTCATTCTCTGCCTGGCCAGGGAGGACCACAAGGCAGGTCTTACTCAAAACTCCTGTCCTATCTACCAGTTGGAGTTGGGAGGATGATGAGGTGGGAGAAGGACACTTTGCTCCTTACATGCTCCATTGTTGAGGGTCCTCACTATCTTGCTTTATCCATTTAGAATTTTGTCCAGGGCTGAAAGAAAGGGAAGCCTGTTATTGTGTATGAAGACTGATGTCAGCAGCTTGCCTTTCAAGACATTGATGACATCAAATAACTGGATTACTACAATGTCTGGAGTTACCATAGCCAAGGTCAAGGACTCTGGCAAGAACGTGCTCTTGAGCAAAGTGGGAATTGCTGCATAATGGCATAGAAACTTCCCCTTAATTTTTGTTTTTCTTAGTCTTGTGTTGGTACCCCCTCCATGGGGTCCTTATGGGGGGGGGGGGAAAATCATGCTTCTCAAGATGATGCCCTGCTGGCAACTGGGATCCTTGCTTTTCTGATGCTGGCTTCCCACTGACTATGGCAAGGCACACCCTTTCTCTTTGTCTCTTCTGTGCATCCTTGGTGAAGTGGGAGGGTGGAGAATGGTAATTTCACAGGATAGCTGATGAGCAAATCTTGATCTTACATCCTCAAATGCACAGTAGTGAAGGAATGTCAGGTGGTGTTACCATTCTGAGGCTTTGTACTGTAGTAAAGGAAGGATTCACAGGAGTACTTCTCTGGATGTTTGTCTCCGGTCCGTGGTTGAACCAGCAGCAGAGCAGCTGCTGGAGTCAGAGAGAAGTATGCAACCCCTGGTCCAGGGAAGGAGAGCGTGGGACTCTGTCACTCTTTGATCTGCAGCAAGAGTGTACATTTGTGTCACTGTACGTCTGGGTAGGTAGGTGCCTTTCTCCTACTCTCTTTTCTTTTTTTCTTTTTTTTTTTTAATCTCCAGTACTCAGCCTGCTTTGGCGTTTAAAAAAAAAAAATTACTTTTGGCTAAAAAGCCCTGTTTGAGCCTTGGCTGAGATGCCAACCTTTTTTACTTTTTAACTTGAGAACTTGGCAGGAGGTGACTGCTCTGTTTTTACCATATTGGAAAGTAGGTTTCATCCTCTAATGCAGGATTGTTACAAGCACATGGGAGCCTCGTCTGCAGATGTTACTCTGCTCTTCCAGAACAGATGAGGAAGCCCCACGAGGGGTCTGGGAGCTCAGCAGTACTAAAAGAAGGAAGGTTTTTGGCTTTTCTTTCAGCTGCTGTAACTGCATTAAACCCTGCTCCCAGCTCTCTATTTGCAGAAGAAAGATGACACTCCTTTCCCTTCCCTGCCTGGTATTCCTGGATTTGGCACTGCTTCACAATTGCTCATGGGAAGGAAAAAATGGAGAGTAATGACCTTGTCATTTTGGTTTGCTTTTACTGTGGTACTTACTCATGTTTGGTCAGTGGAGACAGTCCCCACACTCTTGCTTTTCCCTGTTTCCTAGAGCAAGCAGCCAGTTTGGAGACAGGACTTTGCAGAGTGTGCTGCCTGGGGCCCCGTGAAGGCCAAAGGATCCTGCTGGTCACACTGGCTAAATGCATGCAAAGCAAGTGCAGGAATTAAGGTGTCACTCGGGGGGCTAGAAAAGGCTCAGCCAAAATTAGTACTGGCATTTTCCTACAGGGATCAGCCAACACATCAAACAAGCTGTAAATAGTAATGACTTAATGAGGGCTTCAGTGTGGGGCCCCCTCAGCCCCTGTAGGATGAGGGGAAGAAATAGGGCTGCCTCTCATGTGAGAGCCTTTTGCCAAGATACCTCTAAATTAAGTCACTGCCAGGCACCAGAAGTAAGGCACTAAAACGCTGTTTCCTGGACTTTAGAAAATAAGCCTAAACTCCTTTCTTACCATGAGAAATGGCCTCTTCAGGTCCCTAGAAGGAGAAGTCTATCCTTGTGTTGGTAGGCCAGCTGATAGTCTGCAGATTTGAGGAGTCCTGGCAGTCCAGCTCTAGGTCACTGTGTCACTCATCTTCCCCAAATTGCTTTCAACTCTAGGAAAGGTAATGGGTTTTTTTGTTTTTCCACCCCCCCCACCCCCCCCCCCCCCCCCGCTTTAGCACCAGGGGACATTTTCTTCACATCTTTGCAAGCAAAATATTTAGATTGAGTATAATCTTGCCTCACACCTTCCTGAGTTTTCCCTGGTTTAAAGCCTTGTTTTTTCCCCCCACATTTGAGTCCTTGTACATGCACTCCCTCCTTTCTTGAGACACCTCCCTGCAGCAATCATTTTTCAATCATAGGGAGTCCTGGATGATCCATCTCTACCATTCCATCCTCCTGCAGCAGCCCTCACTGGGATAAGGGGGTGTTGTAGGACCCACCCTGAGGTCCCAGAGGTGATGCATTGAGGTTCAGACCTGGTTCTTAAGTGGGGCTGGGCTCGACAAGGTCATCGTGTCAGTCTCAGGTGAATGCCCTAACAGTGTTGCCATGGGAATGGCAGCAAGGCATTCTTCTCCTGAAATCATTTCTATCTTCAAGTCCAGGCTGGATGAGGCTTGGAGCAACCTGGTCTAGTGGAAGGGGTCCCTGCCTGTGGCCGGGGGGTTGCAACTATGTGGTCTTTAAGGTCCCTTCCAACCCAAACCATTCTAGGATTCTATGATTCCATGCTGTGAATGAGTTCTCTCTGATGACTCCCATTTAGAGCAGGACTCCTTTACTATCAACCTCCGACCAATTCTTCCTTAGCACAACCTTAGTAATGTTGCAGAATCCTTCACAGTACCCACTGCATTGAAGTGGTTTCTGGGGATCTCTGAGGAAGGCCACTGTAGGCATATCTAGTCCAACTGAAGAGCTGCAGGGGTTGGTGTACGTGTTCTTTAGTCCCTCCTCTTCCCTTTTTCCTCTTCCTTTCCCCCTTTTTCCCCCTTGGCGTGTGTGCCCTGGGTCGAGAGCTGCTGGCAGAGAACGTCACTGGGTTTGCTGCATCATGTTGGTGTGCTGCTGCCATCGGTGTCATCAGAAACATCCGACCTGCATGTGGACACGAGAGCAAGTGTTGTGGGGGGATATGGATATGGGGGGGGGGAATGGGTGAGGGTGAAATGAATGAAGAGGGAATGGGGTGGGGAGCTTGAAAGCTGGAATGCTGAGCATAGGGGGAGATGCTTGCTTGGAAGGGGAGATATGTTGAAATGCCTTGCTGACCCTTCCTCCTCTTGCTGTCCCCCTACTCATGAGTATTTAGGAATGAGGCCATCGTGCATGTTATCCCAATGACCAACCCATCTCGGGCATCCAAGAGTGAGTGGATGTCTGGAGCTCTGGACTCTCTTGGGGCAGAGTAAAGAAATAAACTACTTGATGTCCCTGTAGAATCAGGTCTGCATTGCTCTGAAACTGGTTCTGTACCAGGATTTATTGTCTCAAGTGGTAGGAAAGGATCTGTTCCTTTCAGTCTTCTCCCAAGGCCTTTAACTTCTCAAGAATTGCAACTTTTTAAGTGGAGGCAAACATCACTTCCTGTACATGAGGTTGCACTGTCCTTTTGTAATACTCTGTTTTCAGCTCTGTATAGTTTTGCTAAACTGTAACCACTTCTGCTAAAACCTTCCCTACCAGTGTCTGTGCTTCTGCATGACTTGAGATAAATCGATTAGTTGCTTTTTGGGGAGCTGTATTTCAGCCAAGATGATTCAGCTGTTCCTGAGAATTACGCTGGGAAAATAGTTTTACCTTTATTCCTGTCGAAATTCTCTGGTGACCAACTTCTTACTATATCTCATGATTCCATACTTTGAAGCACAGACTTCACACTTGTCCAGGGCATACCTTTAGGGAAAGGCGTATGCATCTTGCCCTTCCTTTGAAAAATCTGTCCAAATCTGGCCAAGTTATCAACCAGCAAATGCCATTGCTTCTTAATTCCTTGAAGAATCCCTCTTAACTGTGTCAGAAACAATCCTGGAATAAGGACCAACTGGAAAGGCAAGAGCAGAAGGTATTTACCATTGAAAACAAGGCTGGGGAGACTTTCCATAACAGAGAAATCTTTATTAGTAGCCAGAATGTCACTGTTTCTTTGCTGTCTGGAATGATCTGTGAAACCTCTGGCTATTTTGCTCCTCTTCCAGCTTAGCCAGTTTGTACCACGCAAAGGCATATAATATTCTATGATTACAGCCTTAGTCAAGGTTTTACAAATCTGTTAGTCATAACCCATGCAGGTGTCAGTACACCACCACGCAGAAAAATTATCTGCGGAATTTAAAACTGAGCTGCACAGAACTCCTTTCCCCATCTGCTAGTCTTTTCTGTATGAAAAGACTATGACTTAATGTCAGGCACTTATGTTAGAAGTTATCAGAATTACAGATGCCTGGTTGGTTTTCTTGTTTTGTTTTTCTTCATCTGAGGCAAAGTATATCCACGCAGTAGGAATTTAGTGAGTAGCCTGCTGCACAGTAATGCTGCTGCAGCATGTTGGACTGCAAGTGACTCAGTAAAGATGCTTCTCAGAAGCTTGTAGAGGCTTCAAGTGTCTTCGTCACATGTCTGGGCAGTGAAGCAAAGAGATAATGGAGGCCACTGACCTGTGCTGGTTAGCGGAACTCCTAGGCCTGGCTCAGACTTCTTTCTTTCTTTCCCTCTCTCTCCCTTTCTCTCTCCCCTTCCTTCAGTGACAGCACCCCAGCGAAAGCCAATAAAAGCCCTTCGCCTCCACCAGATGGATCTCCCATCACCAGCCCCGAGACCAAGACTGTCAACCATGAGCCGGAATCGTCCACTTTGGAAACGCCTGGGGCAAACATCCCAAAATCACCATCTCAGGTAGTGTCCCCATGACATTGGCCATGTCTCTACAGTATGAATGCTGATGGCACAAGCTCCATGAATCAAAGACATCCATCAGTTCTTACTTCGGACCTCTTCCGGCTACTGAGCACAGAGAATAAGACATGACAATGGTAGTTCTCCACTGATTCCTGGGAATGCAAGTTGTTCATTGCTCATCTCTACATCTCATAGGAAAGAACTAAGCTGTCTCTGAATGCCTCTACAGGTGGGAGGCCAGTAATACGTTTCCTTGTCTGGTAGGATGGCCAAGAAAATCTGGGAAGGATGGAGTTCTAGCTAGGCAAGGAAGTTTGTTCTAATTTGAATTAACCTGTGGAATTCAATGGTCCTGTTTCTTCCCAAGAACTTCTGTAACTGAGGAAGGTTCAAAGAAAAAAGTTGAATATTGATAAGGAGAACATCTGTACTTTGCATGATGTTTTACCCAAGATAAAATATTATGCTAAAAATAAAGGCATTATGTTCTTATACTGTGAAGAAATTAGGTACCAGGAAGAAGACTGTCCATTATATGGAGTCTGATACCGTCCATGTGGCCTTTGTTAGTCCTTTCCTCACGCAGGAGATACCCAGCAATGTGTTGAAAATAGCAGATGTAGCTCCTGCTGCCCAGCATATAATATTTTTTTACTTAGGGATTTAAGGAAAATAAAACATTTACTTCCTCTTCCCATCCCTCTATTGCTGAGTGGGGGAAAAGCTTAGCAGGAAAAAATAGTAACTAGGCCGCCACACTTATGTCTGGTGCCAATCCTTGCATTTCAGTAAGTGGGACACCAGGGAAGAGTCTTCCAGGAAGAATTAAAGCTGAGAGGGGTTCAGACCAAACTGGTAAGAGAAAACCTTATCACTTCTAAAAAGAGATGGATACAACCCAAAACCTCCTTGCTGTTGTCATTCATATGTAGAAATGTGATTCCAAATCCAGGTCTGTGGTGTAGGCTGTCTCCTGTTTCTGGATACCCTCTGACAGTACTTTTCCCTTCACTGCATTTTTGATTTTTCAGGGTTATCTAGGGACAAAAAGAGGATGCTTGTACATTGGCAAAGGGTCTTTTCCAGCCCTGTGAGTTACGTGGATACCTGGCAGTGTTTTTTCAGGACTTCTCCAGGGTCTCTGTACCGCTGAGTATTGCACAGCCTAGAGTGACTTTGCCACCACTCTGGCCTAGAACCTTGGGGTAGGGTATGTGCATAGGGGAGAGAGGATAGTGCACATCTATCCAGAATTCCTACCTGTTTTTTCAGAAATTGTCATAATTGATTGAAACTTGGAACAAGGAATCTCACAGATTTATTGAGCTGTTCACTGCAGACTTCACTCACCCTGCCTGTGGACTTGTCTTGCTGAGTTTGGTTTCTTCCCTTTCCTTTAAATAGCACACACATAAGCCTTGTTTTTGCCAGGCTGCGAGTGCTTGCTCATTCACTTGCTGCCTTCCTGCCCACAGGAATGGGGCCGGAGGCACCCCTTGTCGAGCAAGCAGAATATTCCAGCCTCAGCTGGGCCACAGGCACGGCTGAAATGGGATTTGCAGCTAATGCTGCCACCACCTGGCAGCTCCTTCCCAGCCTGTATTTAATTCACTCTCCCGGGCCTCACTGCAGTGAAAAACAAGAGCTCCACTCCCTATTTGTAGTAGGTGCTAAGAGAATGGAACTGGCTCCAGGGGGAGGCAAGGACTGGGGCTTCGTACTCAGAGCCACGTCTGGTGCCAAGGGTGCTCGACATTAAGAGTGGAAGCTTCACAGGTGTCATTACTTTTGACCTATAGGTAAGTGATTTGTTTTAGTGTCCTCCTAGGGAGGCCAAGGGCCTCATACTTTGGGGGAGGATAGGGCAAAAGGCAACAAGCAAATACAATTCTCTGGCCTCTTTCTGTCTGAAATACTAACACAAACAATAAGCAAAGGCTGTGGAGAGAAAGAAAGCAAAACAGAAGAGACCAAATAAATAATAATTAAATTTTGAACTGTCCCCCTATGGTAAAAAATAGCCCTTTTACTGTCACTTTAATTCTCAAACCCAGCTTATTTCTGTCTTTTGGAAGAACTGACTGCTGTCTGTTCTCAGCACTGAGTAATATGATGATACAGGACTTCAGGGGTCTCTGAAATTTCAAAGGTCAGACTTTTTTCCTCTCAGTTACACCACTGAAGCACTGTAATGACACCTCTAAAATCAGTGCAACTGTGTTGAATTTAGACAGATCTCTGGGATCCAAGTCAGCAGAAAAACTTTAAAGGATTTGTTTTATTCTAGGCAGTGAAGTTGTTTGTGTTTGTTGACTTTCCAGCTATAACTCAACATCAGTATGCAATCCTGTTGCCTTTGGGATGTGGATTTAGACTGCTGTTGGAGGTAATGTTAGAAACTGGTCTCCAAGGTACTAATGCATTAGTAAGGAAGGATACTTCCTTCCTTACTTGACTTTTAGAGAAGTAAATAGCAGAAGAGTTGGGATCTTTTTGACTTCAGAGTTAGTAATTGGAGCCTCCCATTTCTGCAGATGGTGTCTCTGCTCTGTGAACAGATTTTCCCTGAAATTTCTGGTCCCTCCTTGCAACCGGGAAGCAAGGGATTTTCAGGAAGGGATTGTTCTCAGGGCACATGGAGTGAACACACTACTTTGATTGTTTCCTATAGCCAGCTATTCAGTGAAAAATGTGTGTTCGCATACTCACTCACACTGTTTAAAGTAAGTTAACCCAGTAGAAAACTGGGCATATCCTAAACAATCTGTATAATGCCTTGTAGAGCTCAGTCATATGCTGGAGGAGTGTGAACACAGGACTAGGAGTTGGGGATTGCAGTGTGTCAGATCTGAACCTGACACTGGGTCCCTGTTGCCTTGGGACCTTGAGTCTTGCAGCCTTGGGATCTTAGGTACGATGAGAAGATCAAGTAACTTAAGCATTGCTGTGGTGCTGGGAACTTGCATGGCTGCTTTGTTCCAACACAGTAGCAGCTTCTCAAAGTTTGATTTGATCTAGAAATGAGCATTGAGCCTGGGGCACAGGAAAATGTGAAGAGGGTGTGGATGGGTTGATCTAGGAAGGCTTTACCACAGCTTCCCATGGGGGGGTTGATGCAGTGTCGGGCCGAATCTTTTAGCATGATGGGGTGGGGGGTATTAGGATAGGTTAGAGTCATGACGTCAGACTTTGTTATGCATTCCCTGGGATCTCCGTTTGGGAAGCACTGACTTCTTTAGGGTCAATGCTCATTGGTGAAACTGAGAGCAGAGTTGGGCCTGCAGCAGTCCTGGCTTCTCAGGAGTTTGAATTGCTCTTGCCCAAAAGAGAGAAGTGATAAGACACAATCAAGAGCTCATTCCAACCTTTGTTAGAGTACACTGATACCCAGTGCACCAGGGAACCAGTACAGGGCAGATCGGAATCTGTCCTCGTGGGCATTGGCTCATATTAGGACAAACCAAGCCTGATTGCTCATTCCCATAGGTATGGTAAGTACATCAAAGGGGGGCAGTGCTGGCCTGGTCTATTGAATTGCGTTCTCAGTAATTGATCTGCTCCCTTCCCAGAGGTTCTTTTGAAGGTTGCACATGCTCTAATTATGTATGCATGTCCTGTCAATGCATATTAATTGTGTTACGCTTCTCCCTGCAGAGGGAAACTTGCCCACGGCTGAAGTGTAACTAATGATGCCAAACCTTCTCTGGAGGCGTGTGGTGTTTTTTTTTTTCTTTTTGTTTTGTTTCAATTCAGCCCTTCACCCTCTCTCTTCAGATGGAGTTGATTGGAGCCTGCTCTGTGCCTGTGATTTCCCCCACCTCCAGTTTTTGTGGCTAACCTTGTTCCTGTCTCTGGTTTTTTTGGGTGTCGCCGTCTGTGCTGTGGCTGTGTGCTCACTTGCATGCAGTTGAGGAAAGGGCCTCCGGTGCCTCCGCCTCCAAAAGTCACCCCCTCCAAGGAGATCAAGCAGGAGAACATCATCAGTCTGTTTGATGACAATTTTGTCCCTGAGATAAGTGTGACAACCCCATCGCAGGTTAGCTGCTATGCCCTGCCTTATATTTGTCTGCCTCTGAACTTTTCCTTTTGACCTTTCTTCTCTTTGGAGGTATCAAGCCATGAAACCTGGTCAGGTGAAGGAGGAAGGCAAGCTCAAGACTGGGCCTTAGAAGGCAAAGGGATGGATTGGAGAAGGGTTGCTAGAAGGCAGCTTTGACCAACACATTGTCCTTTGAGAGCTTTGATTCATAGAAGAAACAGGGGAAATGCAACTGGTAAAAGATACCATAAAGTAATTACTGTATTTGTTCAGCAGCAGTGCCCATGGATTATTGCTCCCCTCACATCCCATGACATGATCTCTCTAGACCCCCTCATCCTGGGTATGGATGAAGCAGATGTTTTATGTTCTTGTACATCCCCAAGCGCTGACCCTGGCATCTGTGCCAGTTCTTAGAGAAGGAAGTTTCATGCTCTCCGTGTCTTCACGCGTGGGCTTTGTGGTAACTGTTAAAGCCCACAGCTGCACAGGAAAGGCCAACAGAAATTGCAGGAAGTTCTCGTTGCAGGAAATAGGTGCCTCCAGTTTAGACTGCGCCTGCTCTGAATTCAGGACTGCTGACACAGCCTGTCACTCTTTACGAGCCAGCAGTTCCCATCAGAATATTTCTTTCTTGTCATGTGGCACGTTTTGGAGTCCTAAAAATAGTAAAACATTTTCAAATTATGTATTTTTCCTCTTTGGTTTCCTTTTAATTTACATCCCTGCAAGAGAGGATGCCCAGGTGAGGAATTCTGTGTTGCATCTCAGAGAATGGCAGTCCTTACATATATAGGAGCCTGACCAGATTTCTGGCTTTATCATGAGACACCTGCATTTACATTTTTAATATATATCTCTATACGTATATATATTTTTTCACCTAAATGCTTGTTAAAGCACAAGTAATGTTTCTATCAGTGCTCATCGATGACTCATCCCCTAACTTTTCCTTGCATCGTGGTGCTCCATTGCCTCTGGTTTGCCACCTTCCACCCAGCTGCTGAGGAGCACAGGTGGAGTGGGGAGGGAAGGAAGTCCACGTCAGGTTTTGCATTGCATTAGATAAAGTTTGCAGAGCAGAGAGTTGATTTGACAGCAGTGTTGGAAAAGGGAGAACCACAGGCAGCTGAGCAACCCTCTCTCATTCTCTCTGCTTCCTTCTCCTGTATCATAATGGACACCTCTCTTTGTCCCATGGTTTGTATCATGTGTTTCCATGTGAACGCCAGCCCTGAGCCAGACATACTATTCCACACCTGATCAGTGTCCTGACGTAGGATGGGATCTGCTGTGACATTCAGTTAGATGGGGGTTCTGAGGGAGGCTTCTGGTTGCCACAACCATCTTGACTGAAGTACCAACAACTGCTAGCATTCAACGCATTGCCCAGGGCTGTTTCTGTTGGATGTCTTAGCTCCCATGAGACGTCTCTTTGGAGATCTGGGTAAATACAAGGGGTGCTAGCCCCTGCGTGTAAATCTTGAATGGCAGGTAAGATTATTCCATGACTGGAGCCTTTGGTGTCTCACCACCAAACAAAACTCATGACTGGGGTTTGAGCATCTCCAATGACTTGGATGTGCTGGAGGAGTGTACTAGAATGCCAGTTGGCTTTAGCATAGTGGTCAGGGTTTATTAGTGTGAGATGGGAGAGCATGATTCTTTGTCCTCATGCCTGTGGGTCTGAAAAACAGCTGAGGATGTTCATAAGGGAAAAATCTGTAAGAGAACTGGAGTAAGATGAAGTTAGGAGATGATGGTGGTGTGGGTTGTACACAGATGACTTTCTCTTAAGTTGTGATGCATGCTGCTTTCCGGGAGTTTTTCTGTGGTCGAGCTATGATACAACTGTGCAGACCAACCTGCCAGGTTTGGTATTTTGTTCAAAAGGTAGCTGAAGCAGCAAGGCTAGCAAACTTGGGAGGTCTGGAAACAGGGTCAAATCTTTCTAGACTTCTTGGAGAGAGCAGTTTTCTCTGAAGCTGAGTAGAAAGGAGTGTCTTGTGGTTAGGTTAAATCTAAAAAACAGGAGTGATAGTTCAGTTTGAATATTAAAGACTCATGTCCTTTGTAGAGAGTGTTTTATCAGTGGTAATCAGCGAATGTGCCATCAATGTCTTTAGCTAGAGCATGAATCAGAGGGAGTAGCAAAGCCTGTCAAATTTATGCTGTGTTAGGAGGCTCATTTCTGAGATATCCTGAAATGGAAAGCATTGGAAACATCACTGTTGGACTGAGAAATGATTCAAATCCCTCAGCTAGGGTGAACTGTCATGTTCTGTGTTTCTGTCTCAGGAGGGAATTAGTAACTTTGGGAGTTAGCTCTGAGGTCCCTCAGGCTTGCCTTCCAGATGTTTTGAGCATTTTTCTACCTGGATCCATGTTCCTGAGATTGTATGGGTGGTGACTCTTCTGTGTGTGGCTGACAAAGTCTGTCCTGGGCCTTCAGTACAAAGGCTGTGGGGAACAGATGTCAACAGAAGAGAAGCCCTTCTGAGGCAACAGTGGCAGCGATCCTTTGACCACAGCAGGTCATGCTTATGCCATGTCAACTGATTTGGCAAGGGGAGAAGATGAATGAGTCCCGTGGAAAAGAAAGGCTCAGGTTTGGTTTACAGTGCCACTCATGTGAACTGCCCGTGGTCATAGGCACCGAGCAGTCAGGAGTCACATCAGGTGTTTGCATTGCCACCACGTCTTCTGCGCTTGCAGCCTTCGCTCCTGGATATCACATACCCTCCCTCTACTCTGTGTGTGTGTGTGTCTAATGCTCATACTGCTTTTCTTCCTCACTGCTGCCAAGTTTGATGCCCCTGGGCCCTTCCAGGAGGGAGCCAGCCTGTTGGATCTGGATTTTGATCCCATTAAACCAGATGCCACTGTGGGGAAGACCCCCACACCTGCCTCCCAGGTTGGTTCATGTCACCATTCCTTCTCTCTTCATAACTGACTTGTAGCCAAGTGTGGAGTGATCTCCACCCATGTGAATGATAATGTAGACCTGAGCTGTGGGTGCCTGGCCTGGGTGCCCAGTCTTGCAGATGGGCACCTTGGTCTTCACGGCTGGATGTGTAAGTCCGGTGGGAATCAGGTGACTATTAGCCATGCTGCAATCTAGCACTGTGTGTTTGTGGGATGCTTGTGCTTGGCTCTGATGATCTACTGGTTGACAACTTGTTCAACTTAATGTATGTCCCTCCCTAGATTAGCATCCTCCATATGCTATATGGATTTAAACTGTTGCTCTGTGAATGGGAATTCAGCCTCTATTTTGTGCTCCTGCTATAAATTGCTCTCAAAGGGATTTCTAATAGACAGACTCTTTGATAATGTGCAGTTACCTAAGGTGAATAGAGCTGTAGATACATATTCGAGTGATGTGCAGTGATCCAAGTGATGATTTCTTTTTCTGGGTACGTGTTCAGAAATAGCTTCGTCCCTGAGCATAGTGCAGTCAGTATCAAAAAGAAAGATGCCGTATTCTGGTCTGGCCTGTACCTGGCCCTGTCTGTTGTCAGAGGCAGGTGGACTGTGCTTCGTTTTATGTCTAAATGGCTGGAGGCTTTGAAGAGCATCCTGAATTTGGCTGTTGGCCTCACTGAGACTTTCCATTTATGAAATAGTTACTTTTTGCCTGTGATTGCTATTAAAAATTGCAATAAACATAATTGGGATGTTTACAATATTTCTCCGGTATCACAAGGTGAAGTAGGCCTATATGACACAGATTTTTGTAGCAATAAGACCTCTCTTATTAGGGAGATCAACCATTAGGCATTTGATTATTTAAAATAAAAGTACTCTATTTGCAAAATACTAGTTACTGTCATAGTTTGACACACACCAATATGGCAAGCTACCACCTTCTGGAACTTTAAGTGGGCAGATTGGTATTTTGTGTCTGCTTGCCTGACAGAACAAGCTGCATGCTAGAATAAAGGTTGGGTTTTTAAAAATTTATTTACTAGGATTTTTTTTCCTGTATCACCAGTTATACCTTGGATAATAGAGTATACTGGTGTAGGATACAAGTATAAATTAGACTTAACATGGAATTATTTGTTACCCTTCCAGGAAGCAACAAATATTGCATTGAGTGGGTTTTTCAAAACTGCTCAGCAATAGCATATTTGGTGTTCTATTGCATTTATTATTAGCTTCAGAAATCATTAAGAGTCTGAAATCAATCCTTTCTCATGGTAACCACAGTTCAAAACCTTGCAAAAACCACCTAGTTTTCAAAGCAGTCAAATTTATTTCCTATAGGGTATGCACTATGGCAAAGAGGTTAAAGTATTTCACTACTGGTCCAAAGACACCAGTTGAAGTCTTGTTCTGAAATCGTACTAACTCTATTGGGTGTGGATACATGGGAGCACTTAACCCTGATGGACCACAAACTCGTGAGTTGTTTTTTCTGGCTATGTGGTCTGCCACTGATAACTGAATGTGGCTTGGCTGTCTCCCTTCATACCAGAGGTAGAAAAAACCCTTACTCAAATGCCTTGGTACTTAAATTTGAATATGTAGTGGGGAGGGGTGTATAAATGCAGGTACTAAAAAATATTTTTAAAACAGGCAGTGATGTTGAATGTGTATGTCTGCTTCAGTCTGATCAGCATCTGTAATGTTTGTACTCACTGAAATAATCACATGTGTAAACATGTTTTGTTTTTGTTGCTCTTTGACATGCTTAGTCTTTACCTTGGGATTTATGGGAGGTAAGAACTTCATACGGCTTTCGTCTCTCATCATGTACTGTGCATGTGCCAGTGCCATCTCTGTGTGCGTACCTGTTTCCCTCGCTGCTTTTCCTTTCTGCACACCCTAAACCAAAGTTGCTTCATGTGCGGCTGAACCTGCTTTTGCACATTCTGTGTAGCCCCAGGGGCAGCCATGTGTTTGCAAGTCAGGTCTGGCACTCAGATACTTAAGTCTCCACCAGCACACACCCCTGTTGCCTTTCCCTGCTAACTCATTCATCTTTCCTTTGGCATGATGCTGTGACATTCTCCTCAAACTTAATTCCACCGTGCCATCATCCTTACCCTTCACTCCCCAGTATTTTGTAATCTCTGTACATCCTGTTGGTCTTGTGTGTGATGCATCAACGTCTCAGCTGCCCCTTGTACTTACTGCCTGTACCATTGAGTATACATACACGTTTGGAATTATCTGTGGTGTTTGCTTGACCGTTGTTGTCAGAAAGGCTGATGTGAAATCACTCAGCCTGTGTCTATGCTGAAAAATGAAGTGCAGGCCCAAGATTTAACCTGGCATCTGCCTCAATCTCAGCTTTGGAGCTGGCTGACAAGGGAGACGCCACACATGCTCTGCATCTGAACCAAAGCTAGACCCTTATTTATGACCTCTAGGATATATCAGGCCTGGGAAAGTCTCAGATTGCTGTGTATTAGCCCATTGGGAGATATTTCAAGCACAACTACTTTTGAGCCCCTCTGTACCACCAGCCAGCAGTGCGGCAGGAAACGCTTGGTGTGGGTACTGAAGCCCGCTGCTTGAGCTGGCTGTATCCCGTGGTGTAGATGTAAGCACATGCCCTTGGCTTATGCTTATCTGCCCTTAAGGGGCAGATCACCACCTAAGTCAGCAGTTGGGAGGTCATGATTTAAGCCTTGCCAAGAGCCTGGCTCAAGGACTCACTGAGGCTAGTACTCTCCTTCACATGACCTTGGGTCATCCTGAGAAAGATGTTTCCCTTGTGTGTTTTATCAGCCATCAGTGTTTAACATCTGTCATTCTCCTGTATGTGCATTGTCATTCTGTCTTGGTAAGAAAAAAAAGGAATCTGGGTTTTGCAAGAAAAGATGTGCTTTTCAAGTGAATGGGCAGGGGTGAGGTATGACTCTATCCGATTGAGCTGTGGTTACAGCGTGGGGTGTAAAACGTGTTTGGGGCCATTTCTCCCTTCCTGCAAGCAGATTTCACCCAATTGACAATTTAATCAACCGGCCAATGCCATTAGACAAGATGTTCTCACCATGCCAATTGTCACCATACATACCATACATGGTTAAAGAGCAGAGCTCCCTATAACTGTGGAATCCTCCTCTTGCTCTTCAAGCCTTCTGAAGTGTTCTTGCTCTAATGTTGTTCTTAGCTGTTGATGAGACACTTGTGGCATGGTTACATAGTCCCATGAGGTTCACGACTGCATAGAAACTTGGATGTGGCAGAACTTACTTAGTTCTGCAGGGTAGGAAACTTGGATTTGGTGTGTATGATGCCGTTGGAATAAGCAAAGCTTTCAAACCTGGCAACAGCAGTGAGCAATTCTTCCTCTTTTCCTTATAGGATCTTTCTACAACTGTAAATGCTTTTATAGGCCTTGTGATGCCCACAGGTACATAAAATAGAAAAATAAGTAGCTGACATGAAAACACCCTTTGTTGAAATCCAGGGGATTAATTTACATTCAGTTTCTCTGGTTATTAAGTACTGGTTTTGCAAATCTGCTGCTTTTAAAAAAAGAGCTCACGTTGAGCTCCTTTTGACTTGTGCACATAAAAAACATGCTTGGCCAGAGTTGGGCTGGCCCGTCCCAATTCCAGTTTCACTGAATCCAAATAAAAAGCAACCGGGGAGTGAATTTAATTTAACAGGAGAAGCCTTTGTAGCATTTCATATGCATACATTTAGCACCACCAGAGCTGAGGTGGGAATCCTCTGCAGGAAGGGAAGAGGTCTGTTGTTTATCATATCCTCTGGCAATGTAGGCCTGTGGACGTGGGCATTGGGAGACATGAGGAAGGACGTGATAGGAGGGGAAAGCATGTTTTAAATGGCACCATTGGAGCAGCCGAAGGTAAAGTAGTGGCTTTTTGTTAAATCAAGGATTTATTTCTTCATTATTGCTGCTGTCATTAGAAAACTACTTGGAGCATTGTGCCAGTGCATGGCTAGTAGCCAGATGGTGTAGAGTTCAGGGTTACCATGGTTGTTGCTTTACACTGGGGTTTTGTAGGGTCAGGACTATGAAAATTGCAATATTAAGAAATCTGGACAGCGCCTTGTTCTGATGGTGGCTGTATTCAGGGGTACGTGTGTGTAGCATGCCTACATGCCTCATACATTTGGTAAAGCTGCTTTGTTCACATGTGTTAAAAATGGGAAACGTCTGTATAGCAGTTGTGTAAGCATGAAGTAGGTATCTGGTTAGATGCTGTGAAGAGGTGCATGTGCTATCGGGTGTACAGAACAAATGGATATAGAGTGGCCATGGAGACACTCAGGCTGCAAATTAGACCCTTGAGGTTCTTCTCAGGAATCTTCCCAGGTGCTGCCTGGCCAGTCTCCCAAGGGCCTGGTCTGTAGCATTGATGCGACCAGATCCAACTTACTTTCAGCATTGCTGCAGTTGCTGGGAGGGGCAAATGAATAGATTTAATTTTGTATTAAAACAAGGTTAGCCTGATTTCTGGCAAGGGAGAATAAAAGCTTGAATGGCTGGAAGCGTATCAGAGATGTTCTGTTGGTCTCGTGTTGTGCACAGAAACCCATGTCCCCGGGCTTCCTAGAATAGTCTCTGCCAGGCAGTGGTTTGTAGGTGATGTTGAATATTTCTCCCTCGTGGTGGCAGCTTTTGTGCATTAGAAACTCTCCTCTCCGCTAACGGAAAGGTGCACACACCATGTGGGAAAATCATAGCAAATGCTTAGTAGTAGAATGTTAACAACAGAATCCAAATTCATGACTCTTTGGGCCTATCTGAAATCAAATTAGTTGAAAGTTGGCAGAGTTTTCAGTTCAGTTTGATACGGTGCTAATGCTGTGTAGATGCTGGGTCCAGACTATGTTCCGTATCTGGGAACATTATTAGCAGCCCCTTCTGTTTCTGGGAGTATACAAAGGCTAAAATATCCCTTGATTGTTGATCCACGCAAGTAGCCTAGTGAGAGATCCTTGTCCCTTGGTATGCAAGCAGACCTGAATTCACATACACGTGGGCAGTCTGTATGTAACAATACATACTGGGCACGTGTGAAGTAGGACTGTGATTTAGACCGTGACAGAGGCGTACCGGAGTTTGGGCGGTTCACTGATTTCCTCTGGAGTATTGCCTGCTGCGTGGCTGGAGTGAGGGAATGCATGCTTTACTCTGATTTCACTGGCTTGCAGAGGAAGAGGGGGACAGAAATTTAGCACGACCCTGAGGTTTCTCAGCTGTTTGTCAGCAGATGGCAGCAGTCAGCAGCACAGAGCCCTTGGGCAGGCTGAGCTGCACTTCTCTGCACACACAGGTAGCTGTAACGAGTGTAACCTCTCCACCTGGATGGCTTTTGTATTGCAGCCTGCAGAAGCAGCCCATGCAGGAGCTGAAGCAGCTGGATCAGAAGCAGCAGCTGGAGCTGAAGCATCTAAAACTGAAGCTGATTCAGGATCAGTAAGCACCTTGAGAGACACCAGTCTCTCTACTCCATCACATCCCTTTGTCTTACAAGCACGTGTGGGTGGCTGGGCTGGGAAGAGAGATGTGTGGCTGCTTGGAAAAGCACATCCCTACCACGTCCCCTGACTCGATCCTCTACTTTGGAGCCCTTCACCTCAGTGGCTTTGCTGAATCGGTGGGCACACGGGGTTTTAAACTGCCACCGTCACTGCTGTCCCCAGCCACGCTAAGGCAGAGCTGCCGCCCGTCAGCAGCTCACTCTTTCTACTCAGGAAGGGCTGGGAGGACACACAGAGGCTCCCTCTCTCTCCCCTGTGCTTTTGCTTGTTCCTTTGAGGATTTTGCAGCTGTTTTGCTGCTTCAGGAAGGGTCCCCCAACCTGATCCTCCACTTTGGCGCCCTTCACCTCAGCTTTAAGTCCAGGAAGACAGTGGTCACCTCTTCTGCCTTCTCACTGCTGCCTCTGATGCCGCTGGGGGTTTTTCTGTCACTAACTGGTGTGCTGGGAAAACTCGCTGAAGCCATGGGGCTTGGGATATGGATTCTCTGTGGTGGGCTTGGAGTGTCAATTTTGGATTCTCTTTTCTCAATGGCTTTTATTCCTTTCCTTTCTGCTGCTGCCTACCAGAGTTCTCTGCCTGCTGTCGTCGTGGAAACTTTCCCTGCTACTGTCAATGGCACTGTGGAAGGAGGTGCTTCATCTGAAAGAGCTGACATGCCCCCAGGATTTCTGTTCAAAGTGAGTGTATGGTGGTGGGGCACTGAGTTCCTGGTGATATCTTTTCCTGTAATGAATTGACTATTTTTGCTCAGCATGGCCATGGGCTATGCTCCATTGGAAGGGAGAAAGGAAGCTGAAGGAGGGATACACCTTTCTACCCAGTAGCCCAGCTTCATCAGTTCCAGATGCTTCAAAGGACTGTGTAAGAGCATAAGGGTGTAAATGTCTGGCTGTGCTGTATAGCAAACTTCCTCCTTCTCTCTGTTGCTGTTGTTTCTCTCTCTGGTGTTGTGGTAGTGTCAGTTGCAGACTCTGGATAGTAGATAAGATGTTGTGCTCCAAACTTTAACTTAGATGCAAGTGGCAAATGAAGAAGAGTTGGAAACAGTAGGGACAGAGGACTTCGTGTTTGGGGAAACTAAAAATCTAGGATGAACAGGAAAAAAATACAGGATTAGACAGGGAATTCAGGTGGGTGTTCTGAATATGCCAAAGATCACTTGCAGCTTATTTTAAAGGTGTGGTTCTGAGTGAAGATAGGCCACAAATTTAACATTTAATAATGGAATATGATAGCAAGACAGCACAGATGGATCATGCCCTGAAAGTGAGAAATGACAGCCTGCTACTATAGGAAGGCTTTCCTTCCGCTTTAGGCATGTCTGTGCTCCGTTTTTTTTTTTTTAAATTTTTTCTTTTTCCCTGGAAGTTCCACCAAATGCAGAAGAATGACAAACCCCTGAAGGGCAATAGGAGACTCGTCACAGTAAGACTGGTTACAGGCAGCATTATAGACTGTAGTGCTCGCAGTGGAGGGCTGTGATTTGAAGCAGAAAGGCTGTAATGCAGGTGTTGATAGGAATTAGATTGAATACCAGAGAGAAAACATGGCAGGATACAATCACTCAAAGATCCAAACTGATACTTTTCGCTGTGTTTCCTCTACCTGCTGGCTGTGACAGAGATGGGAGGCTATAGTCTCTACTACTCTTGCAGTCCAGCTGCAAAAACAAGGCAGGGCATAATTTGAATGAATACAGGCTTTCTACTCTGTGAGTTTTGTAGGCCCATACTTTGGGAATTCAACCCTTCTAAGGAAGGATGGAGAGGGGCTGATGCATAACAAGTTGAATGAGACTTGCCAGGATGCCCTTGTGGCAGAGGGGAGCTGCATGCCAGGCTGTATGAACAAGCACGTAACCATTGGATTCCGGGAAGAGGTTATTGCCGTGGATGTGGCATTTGTGATCCAAGGTTGCCCTGCCTCAAGCAGCAGATTGGATCACATGGCCTCTAAAGGTGCTTTCCAACCGGAATCATCCAGTGAGCCAATGAATTGGAAAGCCTTGTTACTCGCTACAGAGCTGGGTGAGAGAGGGCTGGCTTCGCCCAAGCTCACCTCTCCTCTCCCCATAGGTCCAGGCCATGCATGATTACACGGCCACCGACAGCGACGAGCTGCAGCTGAAGGCTGGGGACGTGGTGCTTGTGATTCCATTTGAGAACCCTGAGGAGCAGGTGAGTGGAGAAGACAGGGTGGGAGCCTGGGCTGTGAGGAGCCAAAGGGATTTCCAGAGCTGCTTCTCCCTCCACTAACAGTTGGTTGGCTGGATGCAGAGCCATCAGTTTGTGGCTGGGAGCTGGTGGGAAAACCGGTTGTCCTTGAGCTTGAGATTGGCTTCCTGCAACTGAGGGGAGCACTCTGCTTGTGACTGGGAAATGGAGACGTTATCCTGCATAAAGCATGTGAAATAGCTGTGGCTTCCTGTCCCTGTCAGGGCATTTGAGCCAATACCATTGCTTCCTTGATCAGGGGGCCCCACCAAGCCCATCCTTTGCCTTCTCACTGCTCCTAAACTTGATGTGCATTCCCTGTGACCACTGCAGTGCAGTCTGTGGCATTGGCAGGAGTGACCCACAGCTTATGATGATGTTTCCTCCATTTTTGAGAAACGCTGGAGCTCTGAGAAGGCAGCTTGCCGTGAATGATGCCTTGCACTTCAGCATAGCAGTGGCTGTTTCCAAAAGGCAAAGTTTGGTCAGGAGATGGCAGCAGAACCAAAGGCTGGAGCAGGTTGCGCAGCCCCAGAGAACTGTCCATCTCTAACCTGGTTAATTGCCGGTGTTTTTCTCTAATCCGAGCTCTTTCTAGAAGCCCTGAGTAAATCCTCCTCGCGTGCTGTGTTTGAGGGCTTCCAGCAGTTTTACTACTTTGGCTGAGCGAGGTGGTGATTTTATAAAATTCGTGCTCATGTTTCCAGGTTTTTGTTTGGAAAAGGAAGGGAATTCTCCAAATTGATTCAGTAGTCACCAGCGTTTTGGGTTTGGCCAAGCCCAGACAAGATCTGGATTCCACAAGGGCTAAAGGGAAGGTGGTGTAGTTCACTGGCCAGAGAAGATGTGGATCCTCTTTGTGGTGGAGCTGCTGGCTTTGGGAATGATGGAGGCAGATCTTGCTGCTGCTTGTGAAATGGCACTAAAATGTGCTGGCACTTCCCGCAGAGCTCGGTGTTCTGGAGGGAAAGGTTGTATGGGGAAGACGCAGCGATTCCTTATGGGGAGAAGACTCTCCACTGAGTGGGACTGCCCTGCACAAGCATTTGTGAGCATTTCTTTCTCAGAAAGCTTTCTGGATGGGAAATGAGTGGCAGCTCCCTTAGTTCCTGTGGTAGGAGATGGCATCTGTGGAGCAGTTTTTCAATGCCCTGTGTTTGCACTCTAGCTGGATGTGGGTGCAACAGCCATGAACTCGAGACTCTCCAAGCTGCAGAGGGTGAGCTCTGAGTGTTGCTAACATGATGCTGTAGCTGCACTGAAGCCCTCTAACCCTCCTACAGTGTATCCTGTGCTACAGTGCATTTCCCTAACCTCGACATACCCAGCCAGGAAATGCTGGCTGTTAACATGTGCATGAACTGTGTAAGACAGTGGAGGAAGCTTAGGATCATAGGCTGTGATCCATGTCCCTGTCTTGCAGCTTAGGTGTCGGTTTGTGGGTACATTGGCCAGGTCTGGATTCATCTCTCTTGACAGAAGAAAGGGTTGAGGGCAGCAGCACTTCTAAGCTGGTACTTGAAGTGATGCGGTTCAAAAGTGGCAAGAGTCAATCTGGGTCCTCGTGTCTAATCCCTGCAGCTGAGGAAACCCTTTGTAGCAGGATGCAGTGGGAGTGATGCATGCTGTATGGCACACGCTATGTGCAAATGGATGAGCTTTTGTGCTTGCTGTGCTGTGAGCTGGAAGCTGCCTTCCAGACACTTGGGCCCAGTGTCCTTTGTCATTTGTCTTCCTGATTTATGGCACGTCAGTCCTCCCGCAGCCCCTGCAGCTGGCTGCTGCAGATGGGCTCCCATCTCATGCCATTCCCATGACATCCCCTGAATGCTCAAATCTAAGGCAGAAGCAGGGGCTAACTGAGCCTGCAGGCACCCAGTACAGCCTGCGAGGAGCAGGGAACTCCGGTACCATGGCTGGGCTGAGCTGCTGCCACATGAAGTGTGCAGAAAACAGGACAAGTGGGCAGAAGCTGCAGAGTGGCAGCAGAAAGCAAAATGTGCCCCATGGGAGGCATTGCTTGGCCTTGGGTGAATACCCAGGTAACTCCTACCCGTTCCAGGAAAGCAGAAGTGTCACAACAACTGTGTGAACCACATGCGCATGCCTTGTTTCCCCACAGCGTAGAGCATCGAGTTGCATGAACACTTCTGCCCAGGCAGGTTATGTAGATGGATGTGGTAACCTGTCTCTAAGCGAGCCTGGTGCATGCCCACCACCTCTGTCCCAGAGGAGTGCATGCGGAGCAGGCCGTTGAGTTTGGAGGCAGCAGTACCCCGTGCAGCTCTCTTCCCTCATGCTGCAGTCTCAATCCCTAGGCTGCCCCGCTGCAAATGACTCGCGTGAGTGGATATATTTGCATGCTGATGGTGGCATCTCCCTCCAAGGCAAGCAGAGAATAGGGTGGTTGCACACCTGAGCAGCAAGCAGCGCAGCCTTCCCACCAGAGTATCTCGTCTCCCTCCTGTGCTTTGGATGGAGCGGAAATCTTGATGCTAGACACCCTGCAGGCAGAGGGTGGGAAGTTGGTTTCTCCTCTGGAGCAGGTTCTACCAGGCTGGATGCCATTTGCTGCAGTGAAAATTCATCCCTGTTTATAGATGTGTAGGTTTGGTGGCTAAGGAGGACCCTTGTGAGACACCTTGAGTTTTACATCATGTGTAGCACACGTTTGGGAGCTCAGCTCCCACTTCTCATAGACCAGAATTTCAGTATAGCAAACAAGACTTGGTTTTGCCTGTGCCACTTCTCTAAAATGCTCATCATCCAGGTGCCCTGAGTGGAGCAGGGGATGAACACCTCCAAGGAATGATTCATCCTTTCCAAAGGATCTGTGCCCACGATGAATGGGATGACTTGCACTGCAGAGGTGCCTGTCTCTTTTATGACTGTGGAGACTGCTAGACCCCTCATATTTAGGTTGCAAAATGTGAGATAGGTAATTCCCGTCCTGTAGCTCTAGAGACTTTCTTTCGCAGAATTTCTCCTGCTGCAGTGGGTGCAAATTATGAAATGTTTCTAATACACTTGCTAGTTGTTTATGATTTCACTATCTCCAGACACTCTGGGTCAGATAGGAGTTCTGGTACAGACTTGGTGGGATGTAGACTTCTCCCTGTTTAAGAGAGAATGAAAGCATTTTTTTCCTTCTTCCTCATCCTCTTCCTGGATTGTCTCCAAGCCAAACATGAGCATGGCTTTGATAATGCCTTGACACCTCTGTGGCCTGCACCCTGTAAGAAAAATCCCTGCTGACATCTATCCCTCAGCATCTGATCTCTGTCTTCTCCTCCAGGATGAAGGATGGCTGATGGGCGTGAAGGAGTCTGACTGGATCCAGCGTAAGGAACTTGACCAATGCCGAGGGGTTTTCCCTGAGAATTTCACAGAGCGGGTGCAGTGAAAGCCCAAGCCCACCAGCCGCATTTCTGCTGGAAGAAAGCAATTTTTCTGGTAGATAATTGAAAAAGAACAGTGAAATGAAAAGAAGAGAGAATTTTAAAGGAACAGAAGCCTGGAAAAAAACCCGGCAACTTAAAGGGTGTGTTCTTCTCAAAGGGCAAGGTTCAAGAAGTAAATTGAAATTCAAAGTGTTATCAAAATATATACATATTAATAATAATATGGCAAGTGAAATACCCTCTTCCCCCTTTGGTTTTAACAGCATTTGGAATCGGAGGACTGATGCAGAAGCAACTCAGTGTGGTTCTCTAAATACTGCATTGACTGAATTGGCAAGATGTCAGTCTGATCCCTGGAAAAGCAATATTTGTCTAATGACTTGAGAGTAGAGGCTGCATATGCTCTTGGGTGGGTTCATCTGTTTTGTCTTGAAGGTGGCTTGCATGGCAACCGTAAAAATTCAGCCATCCCTACATGTTCAACCTACAGTAGGCCAAACTTTCTGTTAATGCTGTTGGAAAAAAAACATGTAGTGTATAGTCTTCACCAATACAGTGTGTGTGTGTGTGTGTGCGCATTTTATTTTCTTCCTTTAAATAATGTTACACAAACTGTGATTCTCGTACATGTAAAGGTAGAAGAAACTATATGGAAAGGGCATGGAGAGGAGGGATTGTGGGAAGCTGTGCTCAGTCCAAAGTTCTTTCAAATGCAGATACCTAAATTCTCGAAGTAGTATTGGCCTGTGAATGGACAAATTCAAGAGGAGGAACAAGACAAAACAAGCGGATGCCATTTAGAAGAGGGAATCCTCTGCCCACAAAACCCTGTAGGTGGTTTCAGAAAAGCTTAGATTCTTGTAGGTGGAAGATAGCTCGAAAATCTGGCTGCTTAGAAAATTTGCTTTTAAGAAAGAGGTAAGATGAGAATTTTTTTTTTTCCCCTGAAAGAATGTCTAAGAAAAAACATGAGGAAAACCCAATTTGCTTTCTGTGTTTTTAATTGGCATTGTTATTTGTGGAAATTGTTTCTTCTTTTCCATTGAAGAGTTCTGTAAGTGAAATATTGTAAGATCAGCTTTCTCCAGTGCTGTGCTGGTGGTCAAGTTAACCTCTACGAAAACTGGACTCTTGAAATACTCATTTAAAGTGGCTGCATGACTTAATGATATTTTAAGGAAGGTAAGAATATCAAAGTGTCAGCGTCCAGAAGACACTCTGCAGTCTAATATTGATGCTGAGACCTTTCCTATACCTTTCCTTTGTTCCTGTTTGTTTTTGAGGTTTTTTTTTTTTTAGTTTAAACAAGCAGATGACAAGGCTGTTTCAAAGTGCATATTACACTTGTTAAAATAAGCTGGTCTGACCCTCCAAGACTCTAAAGTCCCACAAAGGTACTTCAGACTTTACTTGAATACTGATGCAGCTGGCAAGCAGGTTGGGCTATTACCATTTTTTATGGCTTTCCTCCCCTCATGATCCTTTTGCCTAGAAGGGAGTGTTAACAGTGAGGTTACCTCCTGCTGTGGAGGAAGAGGATCACTCTCTGAAATAATCTCTCTAAATGTTAGGAGCTGGCTTTTGTCAAAGATGCACCGAATGCTGACACACACTACTGAAAATCCCACCTTTTTCCAGTCTGTTTTGATTATTTGTAGGACAACAGAAAAAGCATTCTAGGGAAAAAGTGGATTTTTGTTTTTCTTCAGTTTCAGTTCAGAGGGACAGACCAGCTTTTTATCAGAAAATATATTCTTATAAGTGCAAGAGTAGCTGGAATTCCTCCCGCTTTCAGCTTGGGAGACGATCCGTGCTAGTTATTTACAGCAATGTAACAGGCATCAAATTCTGTCCTATATACTCAAATCCCTTCTCCTATTTTTTTTTTTAATTTTAAATAAGCATGCAAAAATTTTTATTTTACATCACTGTTACAAAACCCAATAGTATTAAGGAGTAACTGCTCACAATACAGAAGGACTGGACTCCACAAGTTGGATGAGCACCTCCAAGGTGAGCCACTACTTTAGAATGCTGCCCTGCTTGATTTTTTTGTTTGTTTTTTTTTAATTTTTCACCAGGGTTTTCTTTATTATTACTCTTTTTTCCAAAATATCTATTTTTATGCATTTGTGACTCCCATTACTACTTCAAAGAGTATTCATAGAAAAAAATATACATTTAAATATACATAGAAATATATATATTAAAAAGTGGGTTGATCCAGTTAACATAATGCTGTCAGCTTAAAATGTTTATTTTTATGCAAAACCTGTGGATTAATTTTTTTTTTTAAATGACAAGATTTTAAGTACCAGAGCTGTGCTTTTTTTTGTCTTGCAAGAAATTGTTTTAGAGCATTTAGAAAGCTGTGCTGATATCTAATTTATTGTGGGGTTTTTGCTGGTTTTGTTGTTGTTGTCTTCTGCTGTGTTTAAACCAGATGACTGTCCCAACAAAAATCCCTGTAAGGCCTTTTCATTTTCTTGAGCTCGCAGAGCAACTATCCAGTACTGTATTGTCCCTGCAGAAGTGGTAACACTCCGCAAAAAAGGGATGTGGTTTTCAGGTCACATGAGTGATGCCCAAATACTGCTAGTGGGGAGGATGTGTCTCTCCATCTGCTTCCCCCGACCCCAAAACCCCTTGCGTAGAGCAGGTAGGGTGGGTTACCTGGATCCTGCACAGCTCACAAGTAAGTGGTGTCAGCACGTCTCGGTCAAATGCAGGATCGGACCCACAGCTTATAAATTGCCTTATAGGAGAGTAGGATGGCATAGCAGGAAGCTTATGTTGGCAATGTTTGTTTGAGCTGGGAGATCCCTTATCCCCTGGGTCATGTTCAGCCCATTGTAAACAGCCACAACTCCCATTTTCAGCATTTTTACATCTGCTAAATGCCTTGATTCTGGTTGGTATTACCTGGTGAAATCAACTTCCCATTTTCTTTGGCTTAGGACTGATTGCAATAGAAAGAGGGACAGTAAACACCAAGTAGGCTGTGCCCACGGTGGTTTTTCAGTTTGCAGGCTGAACTGAAAAATCTGGGGAAAAAAGTTGTAAGGGTGACCTGAGACAACTTGAGTTTTTTTCCTTTTCTCAGTGAAATGAAAAAGGGAAAAAAGGGATTTTATATATAAATCCTTTCAAACCAAAATAAAGCATTTAATTTGTAGGGTTACTTTTTCATTTTTTCAAAACATCGTGACTTGGGCTATAAGTTGCTTTGAAGCAAAAATGTGAAACCTTCTGTTTGGAAAATGCTGAAAGAAAATGTTTTAATGTTAATAGTCTTTTTGCCTTTGCCTTTTTTTCTTAATCTGATGACTGGTTTCAGCTAATCCCAAACTGCATTTTTTTGGTGAATACATTATCCACTGAAGAGAACCCAGAGAAGCCTGTTGCCCAGTTCTGCTCCCCTGACAGGTACACTGGATGCATTTCAGGGATTACCTGCTATCTGGCACAGCAAAGGCGCGATCTTCCATTTGATTGTTTTACTGGGTGAACAACAAAAGCATCTCTCATCCCATGTCATTGACTGGTTTTGTAGCCTGGCTTCAGAACAAAGACGTTCTTGCTCTGTCGGTCTCGGTTTGGTCACAGATTTATGACTATAGATTTATGATGCTACTCCAATTTGAGCCTAATTCCATTGTGCAGTGGGAATTGCTATTTGCCCAACTGATAAGAAAAAGAAATAAGGCATTGCTTTTTCTCTCTTTTTCTATCTTAGCAATGTCAGTAATATATCTTTATTAGATAGAATTAGGGAAAGGTCCCAAGGTAAAGATGAATGTGTTGTTCCAGGCAGACTCCTGCATACCCTGTGCTACTTTCCATGGGCATTCCTCAACTCTCTGCTTTTACCACCTTCGCATTTCTTGGCTTTGAAGGTGGTACAGTAAAAGGGATTATGCAGGTGCTTGGAGCTAATCCCACTTTGTGATCTGTTTGCCACAGTCCTTGAAGACTTGTTCACAGTTGCAGGACCCTTTCCTGTCCCACTGTCCAAAGACCGTGGCCAAGGCAAGCACTCCCAGGTCAAAGGGATCTCTCTTATGACCTGGAACAAGTGTAAGGGCTCCGTATTCTGCCTGGAATTAGGATGTTGGCTCAGTTAAGTTCTGCAACAGCTACTTGAAGGGAAAAGGCCCAAGGCTAAGGAGATAACGGTATCTTTTTCATTTTGGGATGATGCACTGACTGCCTCACCTTGGTTTCAGGGAGGCCCAGAACCTCTTTATTTAGGACTGAGAACAAAATGTGAATGGTCAAGATGTGTGTGGTCAATACAATAATGGGTGTCCCTCCTGCAAAGGACCCTGAGTTCAGAGTTTCCTCTTTCCTGCTCTGTGCCAGACAAAATGAATGCTCTCTGCTGCTGTTACGGATGTTTTGGATGCCGTGCAGTCCATAGCCAAAACAGGAGTGTCCTTTGCTGGAGGATGCAGAGGTGTCTCTCTCAGCCCTTTCTAGGAAGAGCTACTGATCTTCTTCAGACAAGGCCTCTGCGCTTCTAACGCAGTCGCCTCTCATTTCGGTAGCCTTTGCGTCCTTCTGCATCTCACCCCACTCTCCAGCTTCTCCTGCTTCCCAACCTCTCCCACGCTTTTTGGGGTTGGCAGTAGCACAGGGCACTTGCCACCATCCTGAAGTGCAAAGCTAGAAGATGCACAAGCATGTCCGTCAGCAGATCCTACGCAGTGCAGCTCAGTAATGCTGCCACTGGGAAAACAAGCAACAGATTTTCTTCTCCAGGCTGCCAGAGGGAAACTGTTCCTTGCCACGCAGGAACCGTCACGCCTGGCGCTGATGCAGACACTTCTGGTTTAGACACTTTGAGGAGCAAACTCCTGACGGAACGGGCTTCTGTGTGACCCCAGGGCTGGTGCAGGGAGTGTGTAGCTGGCACGGGGGGGGCTGAGAATTAGAAGGCCATTTCAGGAATTTTGTTTATGAAGCTAAATGGAGAAGCAACAGCTGTGAACACTGGTCTGTATGAGCTCATACTTTGGTGTGTGTATGGCTGTAATTCGTTCACCTGGTTTTACAGTGTATTCTGCTAATCCTGGCCCTGGTCTGCATTTCACGTAGACGGTACCTACTTGAAACCTGCCAGATGCAGTCTGGGCTTACTGCTTCTCTTTAACTGAACCAAATGGCAATGACTTCGGCAATGTATCGGCAATCTTTGTTCCTCCTGTTAACTCGGTCTCTGAGTTTAACCACAATGACCTGAGAAATGTTTGGGTTTTGAGTGTTTTAAAAAATATTTTAATTTTTGTTTTGTTTAAACAAAGCTGAACAATTCCCATTGTATTCAGAGCTGTGACGCCCAGTTCCAGTGACAAGTACTAGATGGATTTGTCCCATTTTGTTTCCTGGCGATGTTCAGAAATATAATTTGTGTCATCCTAAATCCTGCGTCACTTTTTCTCTTTCTGTCTCTTTATTTTCTCCCCTTTGTACTAAGAAGCTGAAAGAATTCACAGCTGCTTTCTCCTCAAAGAGGTGAGTAGCTTCAAAGGGGTTTATCAAGGTGCCATTAACACTAGGGTTTCTTAGGCACACGTGGGATGGAGAGGCAATGCTGGTCCTTCTCTGAACAAGTACAACAGCAGCATAAACTCTCCCAGCAGCCATCTCT